ATATTTAAATATATAATATTTTATCTAAGCAGCTAGTTATGTATAATTTTTAGATAATAATAATAGAATATTAATCAATATTTATATTTATTTTTTTCTAAATTTAGGAGATAAATTGGCGAAAATTAAAATAATTATTTTTAAATGTATTAAAATTAAATAAATATTTAAAAAAATAATAATAAAAAATTTAAACTTAATTAATATACTTATTTTTATTAAAATAGTTATAATATTTTTAATAATAAATATAAATTCTAAAATACATATATAAATATTTATTATAAAAATAATAATCTAAATTGCTTTAATATATTTATTTAAAACTTAGTTTTCTTTTAGAAAACTATTTTATAGATAATAATTATTTTAATTTTACTAGAATTATTTAACTTAAAAGTTAGAAATATGTTTTAAATAATTAATTTATTCTAGATTTTTACAGTGCAGGTATAAACTTAATTATAATAATAATACTATTTTTTTAAATATTTATTAATATATCGGATAAATTCTGTTAGATTATTTAGTATAATTAAAAATTATAGAATTATTAATATCTTATTAGAACTGCTATTTCTAAAAATAAAAATTATATAATATTAAAAAATAGTCTAATATCTGATTTTTAATCTAATTAAATAATAAAAATAACAGCTCTAGCTGAATAATTTTTCACTTACTCTATTATTTTATTTTTTATATATAATATTTTAAGTTTCTTATTTTTTTACATAACTAGATTTAGAATATCTAATAATAGTTTATTTTAATATAATAGTTTTAGTAGTAGTAGTTAAAATCTTAATAAAATCTTTTACTATTATATTAATATTAACTAGTTTAATTAATTAGTTAATTATTAGCTGTAGCTATTAGTTAATCAATTAATTTATTTTTATAAATTTATTAATTAATATTAATCTAGTTCTAATATTTTATTACAGAAGTAGATACTAGACTAAAATCTAATATTATATATATTAATATATAGTTTATTTTTATTTACTAGTTTTTATAAGAAAAATAATAACGAAAATATTTTTTAAGTTATTATATAATTTATATTAAGTTAATAATAGTATAAATATTTTTTTATATAACTACTTTCTCCGGCAGAAATAGTTCTAGATTTTTATTAAAATAAATATTAAGCAGCTGGTTGGCTGTATTATCAATATAACTATATTATAACAAATTTTATAGTAAATAATATAAATTAAAATTATTAAATTTATATATTTCTCTAGTTTTTATAGAACTGTTGTAAATAATTTAAATATTAGATTTTTTTATGAAGATTTTTATTTTTAGACTTAAATATTAGCTTAGACTTATTAATTTTATATTAATTATTATTTTTATTAGATTAGTATACATTATAAATATAAATATAGTTTTTTTTAGGATTTATAATATAAAATATTAAAAAACCTTAATTAGTATTAGACTGTTTATATTTTTAGATTAATATATTTATTTATAAAAAATCAAACCCGCGAAGCAAGTTTTATATTTAATATTAATTTTATAATTCAATAAAAATACTTTTTTAAATTCAAAAATACATAGTTAACTAGCTACTATAACAGTTTATTTAAAACTTTTAAATAATAATAAGTTTTATATTCTATATCTTTTTTATTAAAGAGATATATTATAATAATTATAGATTTTTAATAATTTACTTATACAATTTTAAGTTATTTTAAAAAACTATTTATTATAGATAATTATAATATAATTAGTAATATCTCAAATAAAAATAAATAATATTATAATAATATAATAATATTAAAATAGATTGTAAATATTAGTAAAATAATTATACTATAAGCTATAAATAATATCTACTAAAAATATTATAAAATCTCTTAATAAAAAACTACTTATCTTTTATATTTATTAGTATAAAAATATAATATCTTCTAAATAATATTTATCTAAGAATATTAAAATTATAAGTAATTAAAATAAATAATTTATATTATCTAAAAAAAATAAGAATACTTAAGATTTTTATTTGTATATATAATAAAAATATAATATTTAATAATAAACCTGTAGTATATAATAGTATATTTTTATTATTATATTCATAAATTTTTAATAAAATAAAATAAAATAGCTATTTATTATTATTACTTTTTTAGTTATAGTAAAAATATAATATTCTATTTTATAGGCTTTTTTAATATTAGTAAACTTTATTATAAATATAAAAACAAAATTACTAATAAACTGGTAGAATACTAAATTCTAAATATTTTTATATTTAGTATTCTAAAAACATACAGTCTAGTATAAAACTTTTATAAAATCAAATATATTTTCTAATATTTTTATTACTGTTTAATTAATAATTAGCTATATCTAAATACTAGAATAAAAAATATACTAAAATATAATTAGATTTTCATATGATATATTACTAATATTTTATTAAAAAAATAATATTAAAACAGTAATTAGATTTAAGTTATATATTAAATTCTATAATATAGTTCTTTACCAAAGTTCTAAAATATTTTAGATAGAATATAATAATAAAATAAAAAAGAATTTCTATTAAAGAACAGTAAATAGATTTTAAAAATACTTTAATTTATTAATAAAACTATAGTTATTCATTAGCATCCAAGTAGTATCTAATATAGATTTATATTTACTATTCTAATAGTAGAAATAGGACAGAAATCAAATCAAAATAAATAGAATATTTAAATAAAATAATATTTTGAATAGTTTAGATTATAAAAGAAAAAAGAATAAGTAGTATAAACTAGATAAAATAGTATTAGTATAAAATAAAAGATATAAAATAGGTTACTAATTTAATAGAAATAAAGAATAATATATATAGATTTGATAATCGATTTGGCGAATCAGAATAGAATTAAAAATATTAAGTAATTTATAATTATAAAAACAGATATAATAGATAGAATACAGAAATCTTATAATCAGTAGATGTTTAATATTGAAAAATTAATATAGTAAGTTTAATATTTAATAAAATAGAAATAGTCTAAAAAGATGAGAATATAATAATTAAACCGGTAAGAATCTTAGAGATATATAATATAATATTTTAAATAACCTGACATACTATCATATATAAAAGAATAGTTGATTTTATGAATATATAATTAATTAATGAAAATAAAAAGATAAGAATTAGATAAGCCGAAGTTCTTTTACTTAGACAGTGATTAAGGCGGTCTGTAGATAGGACAGCAGAATAATTAATATGGCCTATATGCCACAAATATTAACTTTGTGATATTAATTTAGCCCCGCTTATACTATATATATAGATTTAAAACCAAAACTTAAAACAAAAATTACTAAATTTAACAGTTTTGAAAAAACTATATATAGAACTATTTATAGTTTTTTGTGATATTTATACTAACACTGATATTTCTATTAATATCAATAAAATTTCTAAAATAGATAAAATTTTGTATTTAATAAATATAAACTTATAAAAGTTCTTATTAGTATCCAAGTCTAGGATTCTTCTACTAATATACTTAAAATATTATAAGATAAAACATAAGCTGTTAATAATATTAAATAAAAAAATTTATATACTTTTCAATATTATAAAAGATAATCTTTTATTAAAACTTTTTTTATCAGTACTGGTATCAACCAAGAGCTACTGTTTAAAAATCTATCACTATATTTAATAAAATTAAAATATTACGAATTTCTATTTATATGTATTCTTTTATATATATTTCTAATATTTTTTATATATATATTTTAATTATACTAACTTTACTAATAACTATTTATATCATTTTTATATATATCTATATAGATTACTCTTTATATTTATATTATTCTCATTTATTTATAAATCTTAGATATTTCAAAATCTTTTTATTATTTTATACTTTCTTTTTTTGCTTGTCTTATATTTATATATATCTTATCTATAAGCCGGAAAAATATTAGCTATTCTAAATAGATATTCTATTATTATTAATTAATTATATCTCTGCTACTTCAGACAATTTTTAATATATTATATATAGTATAAAGAGAAAGAATAAACGAATATTAATTATCTATTGATAAGTCTCATCTTAACTGCCTTCTACAGCAGTCAACATTTACCATCTACTGTAGCTCCGGCTACTTTCTCATAAAATCTAAATAGAAATAGAAAATCAATTAATAGATTTATTATAACTTAAGTATTCGTGCTTTAGCCTGTCACACAGACTAATAACCAGACGCCAGTCTGCTCCATAACAAGAAACCGGCAGTTTGCTAAGAGCGGTATCACAGAGTTGGCAACATTTAAGTAGCTTCTACTTTTTTAAGAATAGATTATTATTATATAGTAATATCTCATAATATCTGCTGTAGAAAATCTATAAATAAGATTATTAAATGAAATATATTATGAGCTATTAACCACACACTTTAAATAAATAAAAATCTTAAAACTTGATTAAATAACAATATTATTAATATATATAAAATAAAAATATCTAATAATATCTAAATAACTATATAATCTGAAAATATAAAAATTATAAAAAAACTACTATAAAAATTATCTTTACTATTATTACCTATTAACCGACTATAACAGTATATATTTACAGATTTTTATTTACTATTTCAAAATATTTAAAAACGCAATATAATATATGCAATAATAGACTAGTTTATTAGATAAATAATATTATATATAATATACCTTTCTTATTTATTAAATTTATTTATATTTTAAATAATGTCTTCAGATATTATTATTTCTAACAGAAAATCTTAGTTTACTTTAAAATTCTAAACAAAATTTTATTGTATTTTTTTTCAAATTAAGTTAAACTCCTCTAAATATACTTTCTTCATTTATGTAATCCTCAGATAATATCTCATACTAAGAATGGAAAACACAGAATTTCTCTATACATGTATATATACACAGCGGCATAGTGTTCCCCGCCTTTGACGGAGCCATTCGGAACAATAGCTTTTCATAGACCTATTACATTCCTGACATGGCTCATAGTCTGTTCGGCATTGGTCCTGGCTGTATGCTTTCCCTGTTCAGCGACAGCATCTAGATACCCGCCCTTGTCCGCAATTAGTTGTAAGTATCTTTCCCTGATAGGCGCAAGCTTGCTCGAGATCTGATTTGCTAGGGTTTCCTTCAGAGCCCTGAGACTAGAAAATCGGTGCTCCGAGACTAAATCCTCGCATGTTCTTCCGTCAAAATGACTAAGAAGCTCTAAGAGATTCGACACACCGGGCCTGCCAATGGGGTCGTACGTTACGCCTGCTTCCGAATCCGTGAGCGCAACCTTGATCTTCTTACGAATTTCCTCAGAGGAGTCGGTGAGAAGAATTCTGGATCGTGGGTCACTATGAGACTTGGACATCTTAAGATTAGGCTCTTTGAGAGACATCACTCGCCTAGCGGGTGCTACAGGGCATTCCATAGTCAGTAATCTTTCTCTGCCGTGGTAACACTTTCATTAGGGAAACCAAAAGCGCCTTACATATAAGAGCCTCCGGAACTGGAAAAACCTGACCATATCGATGGTTAAAACTATTCGCAATATTCCGAGAGAATTCGAGATGTTGCCTTTGATCCTCTCCAACTGGAACGTGGGTAGCTCTAATCGGAATTAGCCAAGATCTGCGGGGTGTTGAATAGCACCAGACCTGTGAACAAGTATGTCCGCTGCTTGGAGAACAGGGTATGAAAAAAGGCCAAGCCGTAACTCGGATCTTGCTGCTTGGCTTTCGAGAGTCGCCTCGTCGGGTAACTGAAGCTTGCTCTTTTCGGTGTTAATGCTGATGCCTCAACGAAAGTTCTTTGCTGCAATGCCTGCAACCCATAGTCTCCGTCTTCCATCATGATTACTCACTTTCCATTGAGTCATTCGAGATAGGTATCCCATAGATGCTATCGTGCATAAGATCCAGAACAGCTCAGCATGTGATTGAACCTGACGGTGGGTTAGTGGACAAGAAAGACATTCAACTGATAAGAGCAGCACAGCGTACGGCGGATTGATAGAAGAGCGTGGAGCGGTTTGGATCTAAGCCCACGGCAATCAACGCGGCGAGCATTTGTTTCCTCCAGCTCCTCAATTGGCAGCGTTCTTGGGGCACTGTGAGCGCATGTAAATCCACGATAGAGAATACAAGTCTTGTCCCATCGCTCGCGGTGTCTTGCAATCGAACCCATTCCTTCAAAGCACCCAAGTAATTACCCAAGTGAGGCACACCTGTAGGCTGGATACCAGAAAAAATCGTGCGGGGTGCATCGGAAGCGCGTTTTGTAGTACAGATGCTAAATGATCTGTTAAGGTGACAGCTTTTCAGCTTTTCGTATCTGATGGGGATCCTGATGGGTCGTCCAGTGCAAACCCGGTGCTCGTTGGCAGCCAATCTGAGATTCTTATTAAGGCAAGAGCTTATATTATACATGTTGTATCAACACCACCTTGTCAAGGCGAGTTGCATATAGACATGGGTTTACATAGCATCGCCCGGGAGCCGCGGAATATACCCGGCTGTTCATCACGTGATTAGAAGTAACTGGTGTCATGTAAAAAGATTTCATTGTATAGGAGCACCACCCCTTGATAGCCCGTGTATTCCGATCCGTGTATTGCGATCAGGCCTTGAACTATCTAGACAAAGGCCACTAAAGGAAACACGGACACGGGGCTACATGAGATGATTGAAGGCCGGGGATCCATCGCAGTGGTTGTCATGTTGGGATTGTATTCTTATTTGCATTTGCGAAAGCTGTTGAGAACCATGCCGAGACAGAATGGTGTGTGATGGTGAGGACTGCAAATTTCTCCCAAGGTCGCTGAGCAGAAGTATCAAAGATTCCATGGCCCGGTAATACAGATCAAAGAAGGCAGCAGCTTGTGTGGAAGTAGCCTTGACGGGTCAGCGCCTGCCGACCTCTGATAAGGGGCTCTTCAGTGTGACCAGGTGGTCTTTGTTCAGAATTTCAACAAGAGAATCGTCCGATTTTGTATCTTGTCTTTGACCGAATTGTGAAAGGAGTCCTTCAAGTGACTTTTCGGTTTCTGGACCCGCTCTGTCCAAGTTCTCGACGACATCTTAGGTACGAACAAATGGTCAGCTCTTACTAATGGTGAAATGCAGTAGAAGGCTTAGACATACCGAGACTGTCGTATTCCCACATGTTTGCTTTCATACCCACTCCATGAAATGCATATTTCCTCAAAAAAGCCAGCCACGCCTGGACAGTCTGTGGATTCCCATCTTTGACCTGAATCAGCCGACGCAGGGTTATACGCTCAAAGTTCTCTTGGCTCTTCTTGTGAACAAAATTGCTTCGGGGCACAGTCCATCTTTCGACAATGCGTGGTAAAGGTACAGGCCCAGAGACCGGAAGACCTAAGTAATATGCAGCTCGTATAGCGAAATCCGAAAAGAATTCAACATTTCGAACGCTGTATGATCTCAACTGTAGATCACACACTGGAAGACCATATTCAGCCTTTCTACGAAGCGGCCGTAGATATACGGCTTGAACGCTTCGGGGCAGCCGTGCCTTGCCACTTAAACTCTCAAGACGCTGCACCCTGTAGATATAGTTAGTCCGTTATTCGATCGACAATTTGCGTTCGAGTGAAAGTCCAACCAATCTTTGGCTTGCAACTGAGGCGATGTAGATGGCTCTGTCGAGTGACCAGAACTAGACTGAAGTAAGCCAAAGAAGCTCGGAAGCGCGGGGAGTGAGTTATAGCCGCTGACATTCGTTCGTCCTTGACCAGACTGGAGGTGCGAGATACATCGGCGCTGGGTGGATTATTTCTTTCCAGCCCAGTCAAGGAGCTAGAGTGGCGAGTTAATATAAGAGGCTAATTATGCTGGTGTCAATAAGTGCTGTTCTTTTGACAGTGTGGCATTGGAGAGTCACCTGTAGTCGCTGGCCTACCCGTGAGAGCAGCCGCGGAGAGAATGTTAGAGACATGAGTACAGCGGTAAACGGTGACACTGGTACATTGAAATCATAAGACGATGCTGTTAAAAAGAGCGATGCATCGGTAATATGCTGGGTTTTCCAGGTCCGGTGCCTTCCCCAAAGGCGGTCGTACTTAAGCTGTCTCCCATTGGCTGTGGATTGACCGCTTTCCATGAGCCGTCCCGGGTGTTGGCTGATGAATCAAGTACGGGGCATGATGCAGCCAAAGATGATCTTACCTGCGCGAGGTAGCCTTATTTCTGTGAATGCACTTCTACTCATTCGGGCTGAGTCAACGCTACTAATCCAACCCCAGGTATTTGAACGCTTTCTGTTGCTCGAACCATGTGAGGAAGTCCTCCCTGGCAACTCTGATGTGCCCGGCTTCTGTTTCAAGACGCAGCTGTTCATTGCTGATCACAACGAAACCTGCTCAAGTACTCGAATGAAGTAGCCAGGCCGAAAATCGCTCAGATGTCTGAGAGAGCACTCCGCCAAAGCAAGTCTAAGGCGCTCCGCCAGTCGGCTAGAAAATGTGCGCCATCTTTCGAGGCTGGGAGTTCATCGAAAACCCACGATGCCAGGAATCAGAGCATTGCGCAAGCGAATAATTCTCTGGAAGCGGCACCAAACAGCAAAAGGACGCGGGCGCATAAGCCCATGCAGCAGAAGAGACAAAGGCTTACCGCCCCAGAGCAGTTGACCTCAATTCAAAGTGCTGGGAACGTTTGTGGTAGTTATGACGCCCGACAGGTTGGTATGGCATGCTCGAATGAGCGTCGCGCTCAGTCGTGCTCGGCCTTCTCTGATGCCAGTGCTGCTGTGGTCGGGAACGAAAAGAATGACAGTCACCATCGCTCTTCCAGCATATCGTCCCTCGTGGCAGGTAGTTCTATTCCTCTGTCTCTGGCGTCGGCTGCTCAAATCGAGTCTGAACGCGAAGCCTCAGTTCACTCGCTAAGCAGATCGCCAATCTCAAGTCATCTCTCACAAATTAGGGACAGACCTGAGAGAAATATGCCGACAGTTCCGTATCAGCAACGAGTGAGGTCAACGCGAAGAAGGCTTGTTGATTCCTTAAGTGCGGCAGAGGAGTCAGTCCTGAATGAGGTATCCGCCTCCGACTCTGAAACCTGTGGCGCAAATACATCTTCCGTGCTAGGAATCCCCCAATCAGAGGCTGGAGCTTTGCAGCTGGACCAATTTCGGGATAAGCAAGGTCCCGTCAAGTCCTCAAGCAATGACAGGGAGGCAGGAACATTGGTTTCAAGCACTCTTTTACGTTCCAGGATAACGTACGCTCGCCAACGCTCGTTCTTAGGAAGTACCTTGAGCACCTCTGACTCTGAGTTACATGGCGCTTCCGCTTCAACTTTGGACGGTGTTGAAGCTAGTGGTTCATCTGCCTCACTCAAACATCGCAGTACACCTTTGTTGTCTGCCGATGGCGAGGAACACGGCAGGCCTGTCCGTAGCATCCATGAGCTGAGGCAGGCTGGGGACAATGCTCGCTTCCAAGAGTCGGTTGAAGCACTATTCGATGATTTTGAAGACCCGGGCAACCCCGTTTCCGAGAGATGCAATGGGCTCATTCAGCTGTGTTCGAAGCTACTCGAACCCGACTTCATGCGTCGATTCTTGGAATATGGCTTCGATGAACGACTAGCTAAAAGCACGGTGAGCGATTTAGACATTATCTCATCTTGTCTAGCACTGTGTGCCTATAGATTGGTCTGTCTCAAAGGGGTTTATTCGTACTCAAATTTGGGAACATTTTGGACAACTCTTGTCGACAAATCTTCATTATTTCTATCAGTGAAAGACGATATAATGTCCTTGGCAGGCAATCCACGATTGCATGTGTCAAGAGCCGTGCGAGCGTCACTCAGGGATCTCATCCCACGATTGACAGCTTCGATGTTCTCAGAAAGCCCGACACTGAGACTTTCTCCACGGCTAGCCATTCTTTCCTGCATCAGCATTTGCTTGACAGCATTCCAAGACAAGTCTCAACCTATACAGCCGATTTCCCGGTCTTTGCTAGATAACCTTATTGGGCTCCTGCCTCCGAACAATGGTAAAGCCACAGCATACCCTCTGTCCTACGACGATTTTCAAACAAAGACAATGACTCTCCTTGTTCTGGAGAGTTACCTAATGCTTCCAGCGACATCAGGCTACGAGTACAATGGTCCTTTCCACAAATTTGTCCTGATGCATGATGACTTCATTCGTCCTGCCCAGGATGACCAAGGCCGACGAATCTTGACGTTATATTTGAGGGTCGTACTAAACCTCACCAACAATGATCCTCTGGCGTGCGAGCAATATGCCGCACCTGAAATAATCACCGGATTTGTTCGACTCATCACAACTGAGCTTTCAGATGCGTCTGCTATCGTCGGCTTCGGCGAGCACGAGTCATTCAACCTCGTCATCTTGGCTCTAGGTGTTCTTATAAACCTGGCAGAACAAAGTGAGAGTTGCAGAGCCTCCTTTCTTGTGCCAACACATGCCTCGCATCCACCCCTTGGGACACTTGTACATCAGTTTTCTCTCAGCATTGACCTCATCAACCATGTAAGTGTTGAAAGTACGCTAGCCAGTAGAGATCACCGCTCATCTAATCACCAGGCAAATTCCCTTTCCGAGTCACATAATAATGTTGCTGTCGGGTACTTGTCAATACTGCTAGCTCTTCTCTGTCTACTTAAGGAAGCATACTTTCGAATTCAGGAATTGCTCATGGAATGTGGTAAGGGGATCGCCTCGGTCATTTCAACAGCGAAAGAATTCTTGCTATATCATCAGAAAGTCGAAAGGGACTCACGACTCGGCGAATTCCAAAATCGCGACAACACATCCACGGCACGTTTGACACATATCATAGAGCAGATAAGCCAACCGTAGAACAAACCCGTTACCATGGTGACAATACCTTCATCCACCATAGCTAGGTGCGGTTTTAGCACCAGGGTCTCGAATGGTGTACAATTTTATTTTATGATAGAGTACTTGCTCGGTACCATAATCATCTCAGGCATAATAATCACTAGGCATGGAAAAGTCTTCAAACATGGCATTATTTTCTGCAGCCAAAACAACAAATCTGGTACTGTAACAGTTAAATGATAATCGATAAGGCGATAAGTTTAACCCAATGCGCTAAATGCCCTTCCCGTCCTGACATAATAGGTATGTGCAGCCGTTTGATTTGTTTGCCACTCTCGGCTGGAGTTCTAATGTCCCGAATTCCATCTTTATGATGAGGGCTGCTGAGACTATAGGGACTTATAGTTTCTTTCCTCATACTAATCCGTTTTGACTATTGCGGGGAATCTGCCACTGCGCTACGCTCCAGAAAGAATCTGTACCGCCCAAAGGTCTTTCTGCGTCAGTATACATCCTGCCTATAAGCGTTAATCTGTACTGCTATTTAAGAGGAAGATGCCCAGTGCTCCGAAGCAGCGGAAGATAGCTATTGTTGGCAGTCGGTCTGTTGGTAAGCATCTGCTATTATTCTTTAATTTCTACTATAATCGCCCCCCAAACTGACCTGTGGTGAACTTGTGACTGTTTAGGTAAATCTTCTCTTACAGTTCGGTTCGTTGAACATCATTTCGTAGAAAGCTACTATCCGACGATTGAAAACACGTTCAGCCGCATTATCAAATATAACGGTCAGGACTACGCAACTGAAATTGTTGACACAGCTGGTCAAGTAAGAAAGACCCATGTAATCTTACTCAATGGCGTGGCTAATCCTGCGATAGGATGAATATAGCATACTGAATTCAAAGCACTTTATTGGCATCCATGGATACATAATTGTCTACTCGGTGTCATCCCATCAATCATTCGATATGGTCAGAGTCATTCGAGATAAGATACTAAATCATTTGGTACTACCCTAGAACCTATTCACTGCAGCTCCATTATACTGATGCAATAACACAGGGTGCTGACCACGTGCCCCTTGTTATTGTTGGAAATAAGAGTGACCTCAAGTCAGAACAGCGTCAGGTGTCCTTGGATGAAGGGCGGCAACTGGGCGAAGAATTTAACTGTGCATTCACTGAGGCCAGTGCTCGACTCGATTACAATGTTGCAAAAGCCTTTGACTTGATGATCGGCGAGATTGAAAGGTCCCAGAACCCATCTCAACCTGCAGGAGGGAACAAATGTTCCGTAATGTGATCCTTCTAAAATCACTAGGTATCACTCGATGGGTAATGTGTCTGGGTGGGGTGAAGATCTGTTCAAATATGCCTAGTCACCTACAAAGCCTCCCTTTGTTCTATGTATGGCGTGTCCTTGGTTTTTTTACTATCTTACATGTTAATCATTTTAAATGAATCTGACAATACTTCAGCATAATACAACAACTCTGCTATAATGACTAGACTTCAAAAAGGTATATGTGAATACTGCATTCCATCTATATAAGCCAAGCATAATCAGCTCGAACATCTGCTCTGCAGTAGAAACTGGGAGCAGGTGGCACTCGGGGAGGGAATGGTGAACGAACTCGGCCTGAAATCAATTTGATGCTATACCCGAATAGTCAGGCCACCTAGAATTTTGCCCCTCATCCTACACGGCAAGAAAGTTCAGCCTTTTTCAAATACCCCTCTTTGTTAGTGTTCGACCACTTTACCATTCACAGATCAGATATACTTTCTCACAATCGAGTCTGTAAATTTTTACGTATACTTGAGCATACTGGACCATTTTCAACATACCGCTCAAAAATGCTTGACCTTGCTGATTTTATCACCGAACGCGGTGGTAACCCGAACAGAATTAAGGACAGCCAGCGCAAAAGATATGCACCCGAACATGTTGTCGATGAAGTCCTCGACCTATATGAAGAGGCAAGAAGAGGTATATTGACACAAATTATCATTTCACCGTGCAATTGGAACTTCTAACTAAGATTACCCCCGCCTACAGCACGCTATGAAGTCATGCAGATCAATTCCCAGCTCAACGCGCTCCAGAAAGAGATCGGAAAGATGAAGAAGGTCGGACTTATCAGTCAATTCCATCATTATCTCCAAATGAAATATCTATATCTAATCAGTGCGAATCATCAAACAGAACAAGGAAGATGCAGGCTCCTTGATGGAACAAAAGGCTGGTCTTGAGCAGCGTAAAAAAGATGCCGAGGAACTTGCCGTCCAGAAAGAATCGCAGAGGGACAAGAAAATCCGAACAATTGGCAACATCGTGCATGATTCAGTTCCCGTTAGCAACAACGAGGTTTGTGTTATCTGTATATCGATGTATCGATAAAATTGAGACTGACTCGCCTACTAGGATGACAACGTTGTGGTCAAATCTTGGGTGCCAGAAAACGTGAAGGTAGAGAAGCGCGATTGTCTGTCTCATCACGAGGTGCTTACACGTCTTGACGGTTTCGACCCGGAGCGTGGTGTCAAGATCGTAGGCCACCGTGGGTACTGCTTGACGGGATATGGTCTCTTCTTAAACCTTGCGCTCATCAACTACGGACTTGAGTTTCTCTGGGGAAAAGGCTATAAACCAAACCAGCCTCCCCAGTTCATGCTCAAGGATATGATGGCGAAGACCGCGCAGCTCGAGCAATTTGATGAGGAGCTTTACAAAGTCACAGAAAGTGAAGACAAGTCCACTGATAAATATCTAATTGCCACTTCGGAGCAGCCTTTGTCAGCATTGCATGATGGGGAGTGGCTTCAGGACAAAGACCTTCCGATCAAGTCAGTACTATGCCAACATGTCCGCATATTATACTAATGGTTCTCAGGTATGCCGGGTATAGCACATGTTACCGCAAGGAAGCAGGCGCGCATGGGAAAGATGCGTGGGGTATTTTCCGAGTTCATCAATTCGAGAAGGTGAGAAATCTGTGATAAGCAACATTGATTGACCAGCACTAATTTTAGCATAGATCGAACAATTCGTTCTCACAAAACCGGAAGACTCTTGGCAGGCTTTTGAAGAGATGATGGCTACATCGGAGGAGTTCTATCAGTCCCTTGGGCTGCCATATCAGGTGGTAGCAATTGTCTCTGGGGCATTGAACAACGCTGCTGCAAAGAAGTACGACTTAGAAGCCTGGTTTCCTTTCCAAGGGGAGTATAAAGAATTGGTTTCCTGCTCCAACTGCACTGATTACCAATCGAGGGCGCTCGAGATTCGTTATGGCATTAAGAAAGCCACCGATGTTAAGAAGTCCTATGTTCATGCTTTGAATGCTACTCTTTGTGCCACTGAACGAACACTTTGCTGTGTTCTCGAGAACTACCAGACCGAAGATGTACGTTGTGATCTGCTCTATACCGTGACCTTCTAGCTAACTATACATAGGGTATCGTTGTCCCGGAACCTCTTAGGAAATATATCCCAGGAATGCCCGACTTTCTTCCATTTACAAAGGCACTTCCTAAGGACAGTACCTCTCAGAAGTCCAAGGCCAAGCAGGCTTCGAAGAGCGCGATTAAAGCGGAAGATGCTTCCGAGAAGTTGCAAAACCTCCAGCTCTGAGTGCTTTCGTCCGGAAAATCTCACTACCTATTCAGATCAAGAAATGATCTTCCTGCCGCCCCAATGCACATGATCGTGGCTAATCCTTAACTTTCAATGTCATAGATATGGAGCTTGAGATGGTTTGGTCTTACACTGGCGGTAGAGCTTGCCTCTAGAATTCGTCTTGCTTTCATTGATTATTTGTGCAATGCTTGACTCCACTTATACATAAGTATACTTCGTAATAGCTTGGCTTGTCTCTGCACAAGCTCTATGCTCCGGTCATACAGGGCTATATTCTGGGTTCTCTATAGAGCTGCAAGTGTTCAGCCTCCGTAGGCAGCAAAGTAGTAGTATGCAATATAATGAGTAGTAGTTTGGTGTACTTCAGGGGGTACTGGAGAAGGAAGGAGCCGGCCCCGCTCTTACCCCTCCAATACGTACTTCTTGTTTGCAGCGATGACTCAAACATTCAATTGCAGATGTGGAACATTGCTAACAGTCCGGTTCCGGAGAACTTAAAAAAGTCGGCTACTTTCCCTTCCCTTTTCTATACCATTAATTGATAGATTTTTTTTCTCGCCTATATTCTTGCTCGGTACCTTCCATTGACGGATAAATCCAGAAGCAATAATGGCAGCATCAGCAAGGGACATCAACCTCTCCACGTCTCCTACGGCCTCATTCCAATCTGCACCGTCGAGCCATGGAGGATCAGCTCTGGGAAGCCGCACCATCCCACTTGCTAATGCGAAACACCTGAAGCCATTCGCCACTGAGGATATCAAAGTACTACTCCTGGAGAATGTCAATCAGACGGGCAGGGATATTCTCACAAAACAGGGCTACCAGGTTGAATTCCTCAAATCATCGCTCCCAGAGGATCAGCTTATCGAGAAAATCCGGTCGGTTTTCCACGGTATATCTGTGCCATCTTGTGAGATTTATAGCTGACCTAATGATAAAATTCGAAGTGATGTACATGTCATTGGAATTAGGTCCAAGACGAAACTCAGCGCTCGTGTCTTGAAGGAAGCCCGGAACCTTATTGTTATTGGCTGTTTCTGCATTGGGACCAACCAGGTTGACCTTCAGTATGCAGCTGAGCATGGCATTGCTGTCTTCAATTCCCCTTTCAGCAACTCCAGAAGTGTTGCTGAGTTGGTGATCGCCGAGATCATTGTTCTTGCCCGTCAACTTGGCGATCGGTCAAATGAAATGCACAATGGTACCTGGAACAAAGTGAGCAACAAATGCTGGGAAATCCGTGGGAAAACACTCGGTATGCTCTCTCGCCCGAGATAGTAGAAGCCGACTGACTCAACTTAGGAATCATCGGTTATGGTCACATCGGCGCTCAGCTTTCAGTTCTAGCCGAGGCCATGGGAATGTCGGTCATATTCTATGATGTAGTGAACTTGATGGCACTCGGTACAGCGCGGCAAGTGCCTACCCTTGAAGGACTCCTTGCACAAGCCGACTTTGTTACCTGTCATGTCCCCGAGCTTCCGGAAACCAAGAACATGATCGGGCACCAGCAGTTTGAACAAATGAAGACGGGCAGCTATCTCATAAATGCTAGCCGCGGGAGTGTCGTTGATATTCCAGCACTTATCCATTCCATGCGATCTGGTAAGATTGCAGGAGCCGCGCTTGATGTCTATCCTAATGAGCCGGCTGGCAATGGTGACTATTTCAATAACGACCTCAATACATGGGGAGCAGACCTTCGTAGTCTCAAAAACCTGATCTTGACCCCGCATATTGGAGGCAGCACTGAAGAAGCACAGCGTGCAATCGGCGTTGAAGTTGCGGAGGCATTGGTGAGGTACGTCAATGAAGGTACAACGCTCGGCGCCGTCAACCTCCCAGAAGTTGCCCTTCGATCATTGACCATGGATGAATCAAATCATGCTCGGGTAAGGCACTTCGTGACCTATGAGTTTATACCCACAATTAAGTATATGTCTAACGTATGGCATACAGGTCATTTTCATTCACCAGAATGTTCCTGGTGTGCTGCGAAAAGGTACTAGATATGCGACCCGTGGTTTCTTGAATGTCTAGGTTGCTGACGCTCAACAGTCAACGAAATTCTCGGGGATCACAACGTTGATAAGCAAATGACCGACAGCAGAGGTGATGTATGTTCACCTCGATCAGTTTGTTTTCAAATCCCTCGACTGACTGAGTGCAGGTGGCCTACTTGATGGCTGATATTAGCGACGTCGACAACTCTACAATCAAAGACTTGTATGAGAGACTTGAGAGCCTTGGATGTACGTATCATTTTGCTCCATGATGTGTTTTTTTCTTCCTCTCAACCGTGTAACCGTCATCGCTAACCATGGCCTTCATTGATCGCTCTTCTGTTTCTTTAGCCCGAATTATGACTCGCATCTTGTATTAAGAAAGCCAGGGTTAAAAAGCACGAGGCTGCTTGTTGCGCCGAACTTGTCGACGCGATCTATCAAGGCTGATTTTGCGTCGGTGCTCTTTCAACAGCAGTATTATACAGAGTGGGGACGAGAAAGCCATGTAAATCACTTCCCACAGTCAATTAGCATGCGTTCATTTGGAGCCTATGCCTCAATGGACTTTCATAGGGGGTCATTTACTAGGCTTCATTCTGAAGCTCGCGCAGCTACTCTGCAACTATTGGCAAAATGTTCAACACCGCCTCACAATTTGATGTATCAACCAGAATTTCCAGTGAGCTTATATATACGTTAGCTTCAGTATATAATGCTTTATTTAAGTTCATACTTCATTAGCCGGAAAACTTTGGGGGTGGATATGCTTTCAATGTTATTTTCAAGTTGGTGTATACACAAACTCATATTTATCGAGAACAGATCATCTGCGATAGAAAGCTCTATCCGTGTCACGGGCACCATCTCTCGCAAAGGGACTCCGGCTCCTTTTTCTGGATAGACTCTCACGTGATTGATCATGCCTATCAGTACTAAGGTTGATGTTGTTATCCCTTTCACGAGAATAATCAACTGCATTTGTGTTAACATGAGCATGGACGTGTGAATCCACATAGATTTCGGGTCGCCCACCTGCACGGTTATAATCTCTTTCGCGTCCAATTCTGCCCATGTTACCAGAGTGCCATTGATGTGCCGATGCAGGAGGTTTGGGGGGTAAGCCACCTCTACGCCAAGGACCTGAATGTGACTCCTCATCCAGCCTAGCTTGTGATGTGTGCGATTCGGCGAGTCGATTGTCGGAAGAACGAGCCTGAGAATGTCCATGGCCCGCACTGGGATGCGGCCTGCTCGAACGGACGGCACTAGGGAGACGGCTACTCTTAGTCTCGGCAACAGGCGGTCTGATACCAGATGCAGTAGTCCAGCTTCCATTTGTGGCCATTGCTATGGAACCTCCAGTGGGTGCAGGAGGCATAACGGCTCTGTTGCTCCGAAATCTTCTTCTGTCAAGTTCGTGAGAATCTTCGAACGATGGCAGCTCACCGGGACGTGCAGGTAGTGGTGGATCAGCAAAATAGGGATGATTTAATGCATCAATGGCATTAATTCTCTTCTTCCAATCAAGCCTCAGAAGCTCCCTCAATAAGGAGACCGCATTGGAGCTTTGACTATGTGGATGTTAGAACCTTGTGGTTGATAGTTCATGTTGAAAAGAAAGGAAACACCCATACTCTCTGAAAACCTCAGACAACCTCCCGGGTCTGTTTCCAAAGCTCTTTACACCATCACATCCAGGAAGCAAAGACCATCCTGGCATTGTCTCTTCGGTAGGTGAGCCGACTAAATTGAAGATAAGGTGAGCTTGGTTGAGATCACTGTTGCCAGCGAGAATCGGTTTCCCTTTGAACATTTCGCCGAAGACACAACTGGCCGCTGTCAGAAAGGTGTTTGACTCATCACGGCAAGTAGAGCGTGCTCTCACCCGACACCCCACATATCAATTGCTGTAGTGTAACGCCGAAGTTGAAGAAGAAGCTCCGGAGGGCGGTACCAGCGAGTCACAACAAGAGTGGTGTAATCTCTTTTTGCTTCTCCGCCACCTTTCCCGGGTTGAGGAGGAGGTTCCTCATATGGGCGAGCCAGACCAAAATCAGCAATTTGAAGAACACCCTTATTGCTGATGAGTAAATTGGCCGCTATGTTACTATTAGCCACCCACGTCCATTCCTGTTCGAACATGGCGAATCTAACCTTTCATGTCGCGGTGCAAGATAGAGTTCTGGAGCAGGTTAGAATCATGACTTTGACCACTGGATAATTCGATTGTACCGCGTGCAGATATTTAAGCCCTTCCAGAAGTTGTAACATATAGCACTTGATCTGGGCTTCAGTAAAACGGACACTCGGATTCTCTAGCAGCCCTGAGAGATCGTGTTCCATGTATGGGGTGACCATATACATGCTTGGCTTCTTTCGGCCTTCCCCTGGAGAATAATCAGTGCGAGCGGATTTTCTATTAATTGCTTTGGCCTACCTTTGCTGCGTTCCACGGCCATCTCTCTGAGGTGTAAGATATTAGTGTGAGACAACATTTTGAGGAGCTTGATCTCACGGAGAGCGGTTATGGGGAACTTCGAAAGGGTAAGTGAGCTTGGTCATATCGCCTAAGACAGTCATTCCTTACCCCATCTCTCTCATTGTGCATAAGGATCTTCTTTAGCGCGACAATGGTATTATCTCTCTTCGACCTGGCTTTGTATACCTCCCTGTCCGGGTCTCAATATGCGACACGAATAAAACAGGCTGCTACCGGTACATACCCGAAGGTACCTTCACCTAATTTGCCCAAGAACTCAAAGTCCCGTATATTGGTACATCCACGAAACCTGGGGCTCCCATTCCCCTGTCTCTCAAGAGAGGTTGCAGCCATTCTCGAGAACAGCTACCCTGATCGACAGCAAGAGAACGGGCCCTAAAATGCGATAAGCCCAGTGCTTGTCTCTTCCTTGGAAACATTCGAAGGTTTGAGTCGACAGATGAGACTTCATGTGTGTGACATGCAAAAGTAAGGGCCTTATGACACTTTGATAGTGGCGATGTGTGTGGTATCGGAGCACGGTATCGGACTTTTAAGCCGGGTAAATTAGAAGAAGCACTCTAATGGAAACTAGACGGTATGAAGGACTTGACGTCAACATGACAAGTTACGCATAGATTTGACTGCCAGAGATGTAAATACCGAGCATTGCGAAAGATCAATAAGTGCTTGTCCTTAATATTGCAGGTCTGACCCTCGGCGGAGTGCCTGGCGCCCGCAAACATTTCAAAGTGTCCTGAGTCACATGACACATGCGTTCCCGTGACGTTCGAAGTGCAGACATCATAGGCATCTTCGGAAGACTCACTCTATCTATCGTGCACTTTCCGGCATAAACTGGGGAGATTGTCCATCACGCTTAACTCCGAGTCAACCAGAAAGTATCTTGTCGTGGAACCCCATAAATTTCACTCAACAAGCTAACGTATGCAATATAGACATGGCGTCAAGTCATCCTATCCATGTTCATCCCGCACGACCTCTGTATCGCTTTACGGCTACGGCGTTGGGAGCTAGCATGTGGTTTTTCGTAAGTGAATTCATGATTCTCATCGTCCTCAGAAAGTCACTAATAATATCCTCCATCATTATAGTTAATGTACAGAGCCAAGAAAGATGGACCCGCCCTTTTAGGCTGGAAGCACCCTTGGGATCATTGAGGGCGCAATGGGCTACTGTATCAACCACTTCGCTGAGAGACAAATACAAATATGAGCCGAACGGACATATCTTGAGATGTATAGTCGAAGAAATGACTGGACCAGCCAAGCGGACTTGTGGCCTCCAATGTCTCAACTCTGGAATCGAGACAAGTTACAGGCTTATTGGAAGCTGCAATAGCTCTTTCTCTTTCTATTCATCAACTTGGACCATTGCCCAGAGAGAAGCGATCTAATTTCGCATTTCCTCGAGTAGCATCTTGTATCGACGGCGTTTCTTCGACTGACCTGGTCGTAGTTTTTGACGTAACTTCCCCACCTTGCGAGCAAGGTTGGGAAAAATTCTTCTTTCTGCCGTCCAAGCAATTAGGAAGCTTCCGCTAACAACTGCGAGCAACTGCCAAGCAAAGTAGTCTGGGAGAGACGTCAATTGCATGACACGTCTGAGCCACTGAGTCGGTCTGAAAAGCATGTAGCATGAAAAGAGTAGAGTCATTAGGACCATGATCAGGTATGGTTCTAAGGATAATCAGCTTCTATCTCCTAAAGTGTTGACAGTCTTTGAATGAGACTAACTGTTTGAAATCATCGGCTTGCGAAATGGCGGTCCGGCGCTGAGCACGACGCTCGACAATATGTATTGGAAGCTAGAGACCAGGAAAAGTACAGTATTTGCAGAATTCTCAATGTTATCCTCTAAGCCCGCGCGGGGAGGGTTGAACCTGGGAAGTGGATCAGCAAATCTTCGGTACATGCATTACTTCGAGAAAAGCATGAATTTCGACGCGTACCAGGGTTGCAGCTGGACATATTTGTATGCCACAAGCTGCGTAGCTACACAAAGGGTAATCTGACCGAGCAATGGAATCAGAACTTTGCGTGAGACGAGGTCGGCGGTAGGCCGCTTGCGAGAAAGTATAGGATGGGGGTCAGTCCATCCCACTTGAATTTCATCAGTATTTGCTTTGATATTGTAGGCGAAATGCAACTTACTAAAGATCGCAATCGGTAGGATCAGAAAAAGATCAATGAAGAGGAACTTATGCTAGTCAGTGACGATACTCGCATGGTCGTTATGGTGTGAAACATGTACCTGGAAATCACCAAGATTTGACGCTGACGCATACAACATGCTCACAGTCGCAAACTGTATGGCCGAGTAAAGACTCATGTACTTGAAGCAACAGAAGCTGGTAACCAAGGCACCTCTTCCTTCCCTAGAAATAGATTTAGCAGCGAGCTCCCTCGACACTAGGCAACATGTTCTTTACCTAATAAGCGTGGGTACACATGAGATATCGAATTGGCGACTGGTGAACGGGGCAGCAACAGAGGCTTCAGCATCGGATAATGATATACCAACGTCAGCAGCTTTCAACGCGCCGCAATCGTTCGCGCCGTCGCCACAGAATCCACAACAGTAGTCGAGGGACTGCAGCTTTTCAACCAGTTCATGCTTCTCATCTGGCGACATTCTTGCGAATACGCTGCCACGCACGAGCATCTATAAGTATGTTTGTTAGACCCGAATTATAGCAGATGCCACTGCCGGCACTAGTCGTCGCTTTATTTACACATACTCTGTTCAGAATTGTTTCGCTGCCGAAGTCAATTGCCCATCGGAAAACTTCGCCACTGACAGCAAGAGAGTAATTATTTAGGTTGGAAACATTGCCAGGAACCGAAAGGTCAATGCTTGCTGCGTTTACATGGGGCTTTCTAAATCAGCGAGAGCCACCAAACAAGACACTTGAGTCATACCATAAGTGTAGTCGAGTCGAGCCTGATTGCTGGGTCATCGACGCTTTCCCAACAAAGCGAAGCACCCGTATCATGTCCATGCCCTATGAGTAGAGTTAGTAGAAATGTACTTAGACAGATCAATCGCAGCAGGAAGAGCTAACCTTGCGAAAAATGAGGAACAAAACAATGTTCATTGCTACTGACCAACCCGCACTCACGAGCTACACTAACTGCCGTGAGTATGTTATCACCTGTACACATGACGTTGCGTATGCCTGCTTGATTAAGTTCAGTTATAGTCCCCGCAGTCTTTGGCTTAAGCTTATTCTCAAATATAATGAACCCGAGAAATTCAAGATCACACTCAGCATCATGACGAGTCATTTTCTGAATCTTCATCCAGCTTAGCTTTGGCGCATGCTTGGCAGCACAGGCAATAACGCGATAGCCTTTGTGTGTATAGTAGCTCAAAAGCTCGTCATAATCACGGGGCACTAGGGAGTTACTTTTAGTAGTGTTTACAATAGAGTGGATTGGGACACTGACAGCTTCCTGGGCGACATATAGCCTTAACACTTTCTGGAGCACCTTTTACGAAAGTGCTTGCTCCAGAATCACCAAATCGGCGTACAATAACACTTGCACGACGCAGCTCTGAGACAAATTCAAAGTTGCGCAATATGCCCAGCTCTACATGTGCCTGTTGACTATCAGCATCCTGCTTTAGTGAGTCGGAACATTATATGAGATGTTGCCATACATGTGGGCCCTGCTCCTGGTGGGAACCAGCAAGGGTGTCAGTGGGCTCTGGAGGTTTTGCGATAGATGGCATGATTCTCTCAGAGTCTGACTGCTCAACATGACTTCCTCCCTCTATAAAAGACCATCCAGTGAACTGAAACATTTTGACATCGAGAGGATCACCCAATAATTCACCATCGACCACTCTCAGAGAGTGGCATGTTGCCATGGTGTAGAGGATATTATCGTGACGAGTGTCCCTCTGTATAGTAGTTCTGTCCGCCAGGGGTGCGGTGTCGAAATAAATGGTAGAAATCAATCCGGAGAAGCTACAGCATAGTCAATAGACGCACAAAGGACAAGTAAATATGTATTTCCCAAACCTCTCATTTTTGTCGGCGATCCGAATCCCGAGTACGTCTAGTCCGTCCTCAGTGAGTGTTCCAGTTTTATCAAAACAGATTATATCTAGCTTTCCGCCCACATTGACCCTAAACAATATTAAACCAAGTCCTCAAGACTATAATCTCAGACTTCTCACCTCTGTGGACTGATGCAGAATATCTTATGATTCTTCAGTCTTGAAAGAGCAAAATTCGTTCCTATACTCAATGTAGCAGGTAGCGCTGGAGGCACGACTATTGTGATCAGATCCAGTGCTCGGACAATAATGAATTGCCAAGGAAGCTTGTCTGTGTTAGCAACGATAAGTTCGGTAGTACAGTTGGATGCCCTTACTCCTAAGCGGATGAAGTTCACAAAAGAAGCAATGAACCCTAGAATAGCGATGATACCCATAACTGAGATATACCGGAATGAATCCCGATAAAACTTGAAGCCCGAGGGCTTAGGAAAGAGCATTGACCGGATAAGGGCGCCTTTAGTTGTGAGAAACCCAGTCCTCACAACAACTGCTAATGCTATAGCTTCATCATCATCAACATTCTGTGGGCGCCGTGCCCTTATTACCTTCGTACCACTAAAAAGAAAGTGCTTTGCAAGGTTGGGATTGATAGAAGGGCCAGTTAGGTTTAGATACTTCAGTGCATCATCCGTAAGAGGAAGTTTGGTGACTGGGACAGATTCACCTGTTATTCATTAGTCCATCTTCTCAAGAAGGCAGACATGTCTTTCAGACCTGTCAGCATGCTTTCGTTGACTATGCAGTCACCAGACAACAGTATACAGTCACAAGGAACTTGCGTGAGGGACGGATCCGAGAATTCGTAGACATCGCCGGGGACAAGCTCTCGGGATGGAATAGATCTCCCTGTAAGTTAAGACATGAGCATATTTCTGGCACGTGGAAGATGAGCCACACATGGCTCCACCTACAGAATCCATTGCGAAGAACACGGGTGTCGCATTCAAATAGTGATAGCTCTCTTAAACGATTCATTGTCTGAAGGAAAATAAGCACCTTTGAAGATAGCGACAGGCCCACGGAAACGCACCGCTTTTGTTTCAATGACAGTAGCACCAATGCTAATGAGTGAAATGAGAAATATGCATACAGCATAATAGTAATATTCATCGAGCGACCAAAGTACAAGGCTTGCCAGCTGGAAGATATAGAATGGGTGAAAAGCCTACAAAGTCAGGGATCGAAGTGGAAAAGCTCAGGGTTCCACACTTACCTCATCCATAAGCAGTTGAAACGCAGGCTTCTGCTGAATGTCAATGAGATTTTTTCCGAATATTTGTTCGCGATCGTCACGATCATCGGCATCCAGCCCGAGTCTCATTCCTTTCACATTTGTCCATAGGGGATCTTTCCACCCATTCACCAGGCAGAATTTATCCTCGAGCGGATTATAAAAGAAGCGAAGATATCTGTAATCGATGCGTTTCAATTGGGCAATGGTGGGGTCATTATCTTCGTCGTATGAATGGCAGTCAGGATCGGCGAAAATCGTAGACAGAGGGCGCCCATAATCTTGACTGTCGACTTGTTGTACTTGAAATCGATTCCATTGATCCTGACACTAGATCAGCAACAGATAGATAGATCTCGGAGGTAAAGCTTCCTACCTCAATCGCAACCCATTTACAAGCACAAAGAGGGGCTGGTTTACCTAGCAGACGGACGCGCCATTTGGGGAACCATCGAAAGAGCAGGTAAGCGAACCCGAACGACAATGCACACAATATGTAATAGAGTACAAGACCAGTGATGCTTGTCGAAAACCCCGCAATCACAATGGTAAGATCTTCTGAGATGATGTGGACTTTCTGGCTTGTTATACTTTCGCCTGTCCAGTTTTGTGCGTACGATGCAACAGATAATGACCGCCGTAGCAGGGGATCTTCAACTGAGCCTCTTGAATAAGATTGGCGCTTAGAGGACCGTATCGATGGATTTGTGTCATTTAAGCCATTCACGGACACATCGTCCATGTCGCTCTCGACGTCCAATGCATCCTCGGGTGGCCACAATGTGTGATCCTCATCGTCGTGAAAATATGTAAAGCTAGTGGTAGAGTCTTTCCGATCTCGACGGTGAGAGAATGAGACAACGCTTGATGGTATACTCTCTGATATTGGACCATCATAAACCTAGTTGGGTCAGTGATACGTAGCGAAACAGTTTCCCTCGCGACATACCTCACTACGAGCCATTTCAACCTCGGATACAATGCTATAGCTAGAAGACCGTTAGCAAGGGAAAAGAGACGATTGAGTCTGGTGTCAAGGACCTGCTTCTCATAGAATTGCGCCGGTTTTCTGCACCGGGCAAATAGACCTCGGATGGCTGCGACTGCCCTTGACGATCCTCCATGTTTATTGATGCGCCCTGCTGCTCTGCTTCTCGGTACTCAATTTGGGGGGGAGGGGGCTGTTTGTCTCGGTGATAGTGTCTGCGAGGCTTGTGATGACAGCGAGCAACACGGAGAATATGTCAACCTAATTCATACCGACAGTTGGTTGGCTGATTGTTCTGGTGGCTACTGAGGGTCTATCTGGTGGTCTATGTGGTGTTGGAACAGGAAAAAGCTGCTTTAGTCATTAAGCGCGTGTTGGATTAAGTCATAGCCCAGCAGTAGTAGAGTCAACGGGGTCTTCCGGAGATAGTTAAGTTCCCTAACTTATTTAGGTACGTAGGCTAAGTTTTTACGTTACTGTACTGTAAGTACTCCGTACTAATGAAAAACATCAATACACATGCTTGTTGCTCAAAACTTCCCTGATAAAGACCACTGCTTAAACTGCAGAACGCCAGACCTACCTTCATCGCTGGCGCTGCCCATGTGTCTCCAAAGAGTCTCTTTTATATCTATGGGCAGAAGGTGGTCTACCAGAATAGCAACAAAACCGAACATGAAAAGGGAGAAAAAGACAGTCGGAGGAGAAGGAGAAGGAGAAGCAGGAGAGAGAGGAGAGAGAGAAGGAGAGAGAGAGGGAGAGAAAAAGATTCTTATGTGTAGCAGAAGTTGTAGAGATCGGCTGGAATTGTTTTTCTGTCTGGCAGTGATACCTACCATAATTTATACCCTAGCACCCCTTAGAAAAAGGCTTCGACGCAATTTTTGTTTTTAGGAATGCCGGAAGGCTAATCTGGATTACTGTTTTCTGTATGAAGGTCAACGTGTTACGGGCACTATTATAGACAAATCAATTATAAAGAACATATAGAAAGTATGTAGAAAGTAAAGTCCAACAAATTACCCGGTACGATCTGCTCTAATTAGCAGCAAATTAGATTTGTGGTTGATCAAGAGTTCCCGTGTAGTTAATGCTAGAGGCGAGAAGATACGTAGTAGAAGTCAGTAACTAACATTTATTGTTGGGAGTACCGAGCAGTCCTCAACAGCCTTCGTCCCGCCAAGCCCCTCGGCCCAAGGGCGCTAATAATCCCACCAAGCCAGTATTCCAGACCTCGCAAAACTTGGGTGTATCAAAATCTTCCTCCACACTCGCCTTTACACACCCTTAAGCCAACTCAGCTTTGTACTCCCCAAAATAGTTTCCTCTGCTTGTCAGATCACGATGTCTGAACCCATCAGGAACAAGAAAGCGGATATTCCGATCGCGCCGTAAGTTTTTTTGACCGTCTAACTGAATCTCAAATTTGCCGCATGCTAGGATTCGATTTCTGATAATACCTGACACCATAGGACACCTCAAAACACTCCAGCTAATAACGCTCCTATCTCTTCCCATGCCCAGCAACCTGGAATTGCCAGCATTAAAGAAGGTAACTGAATGCATGGACTGTCGCCTTCCTTGGTGATTCATCAGACGCTTATTTATCTCCATAGAGTCCCTTGACCATGCTACGGCCGCTTCTCTTTTCGCACGCAATCCGGGTCTAGTCTCCATGATTCAAGGGAAGCTGGGCTCTCTTGTCGGCCGCTCTTCAGGCTACATCGAGTCCCTACCCGTATCCGTTCGCCGGCGAGTTGCTGGACTGAAGGGTATCCAGAAGGAGCATGCTAAGCTGGAGGCTCAGTTCCAGGAAGAAGTGTTGGAACTCGAGAAGAAGTATTTTGCGAAATTCACTCCTCTTTACCAGAGACGTGCTACAATAGTCAATGGTGATACGGAGCCCACTGACTCGGAAGTTGCGAATGGCCGCGACGAGGAGGAAGACGCTGAGGCCGAAGGCGAGGCTAGCAAAGATGAAGCCGATGATTCAACAACAGCTGGAATTCCTGAGTTCTGGCTATCGGCCATGAAGAATCAAATTTCCCTTGCGGACATGATCACTGAACGCGACGAAGAGGCCCTGAAGTATCTCACCGACATCCGGATGGAGTATCTTGATCGCCCTGGATTCCGACTTATCTTCGAGTTTTCTAAGAATCCCTTCTTTTCGAACCAATCCATCTCGAAAACCTATTACTACAAGGAAGAGAATGGGTACGGAGGTGATTTCATTTATGATCATGCGGAAGGCACCAAGATCGACTGGAAAGCGGACAAGGATCTTACCGTACGGATCGAGAGCAAGAAACAGAGAAACAAGAGTATGTCACCACGTGCTGAAATCTCAACTTGTTACTAAAATCTCCAGATACCAAACAAACCCGTGTTGTCAAGATAACTGTTCCCACGGAGTCTTTCTTCAATTTCTTCTCACCCCCACAGCCCCCCACCGATGATGACGATACTGTCGCCACTGATATCGAGGAGCGTCTCGAACTTGACTATCAACTTGGAGAAGATATCAAGGAGAAGCTTATCCCCAGAGCAATTGATTGGTTCACCGGGGAGGCTCTTCAATTCGAGGAACTAGGTGACGACATGGACGAGGATGAATTTGATTTGGAGGATGATGAAGACGATGAAGACGATGACGATGACGATGACAGGGATACTGACCGTGATGTCGATGAAGACTCAGATGAAGAGGTATGACTGATTCAGATCATTGACCATTAACGCATGTTCATATGCTGACACTGTGGGTAGGACGGTACTTCTAAGCCGAAGAAGGAGGCAGCAGAATGCAAACAAAGCTGAGCAGGGCGGCTTGATCTGACGCAGCCATAAGAAGTGTATCTCAGTCACGACCGGACCTATATGCGCTTGGTTGTCTCAGCCGATTCCTTCTACGCCCGTGCGCCTTTTGTTCGATTTCTAATATTGCCTCAAATTGTCTCTCCTATCATATGCCTCTTACTCCTAATCTCTTTTTATGTTCATGCACTAGCAATGTTCTCAGATACAAACATCTTAAAGTCTTAAGTTTCACGGGTCTGCGCCGACGCATGGATCTTCGTTAGCGAATCTCTTGATAATCTTTCCCCTTTAAATTAGGATACTTGCCTCTGTCAATTCCCAGGTTGCTTGGGCAGTCAGAGCTTACTTTCATTCCTGGTGTCTAATTAATTGTTTCCATGATATTGCGAAAATAACCAGCAGTAGCGGAAGAAAGACTTGCCGGAGAAGCTCATTATCAAAAAAGCTCTTTTCTTTGGAACGGAGGTGTTGGGTGGAAGCCATGTTCAGTTCGAGGGGGGTCATCGCAATATCTGTTCACCACACCGCTAATTGCAATAATGGTCGATGTTGTACGTAAGACGGAAATTAGTCGCAGCCATGCTCAATGCACAAGATTGAAACATCATGCTTAGATCAGAACATGCACCTAAGGTTCAGTTCACGGGATAATACGTCATTTCTCTTCACTTTATTCTTAGAGGCGAACAAAAATAGTAGATGTGTATCAACGAAGGCCTTTCGTTAATGATGATGACCCTTGGCATTGGCTTTGACAACTGTGGAGAGTGTCTCGATAAGTGGCGCGGCCGTCCAGGCCCGCCTCAGGGGCTGCGGCTCGCGGCTCGCGGCTCGGGCTCGGTAACGCCAGCTGTTAGCCAGTTCAATAATTTCTCCCTGGAGGAGAGCATGAAGACTGTCTTCTTTCTCAAACAAACCTCCTACGATCTTCCGTGTGTCAAGGCTATGATTCTCTGACGTCTGGATTGAACTCGATTATCTCCGTTTTTTGTTTTTCGCTAGATGCATGCGACATCGGCCATCCATACAAGATTGTCGAAAGTCTTACACTGGTTTTCTGGCCCAATCTTGTTCAGGATATCGTCTTGAGTGTCAGCAAAGTTGTTAAATGGCTCACAACTACGAGGTGGGCACGAGGGCCTGGCATCCCGATCCGACCGAGGGCTGGATCGCGTCTGAGGTGAAGGAGAAACATGTAGATGGAGACAAGGTGCAACTCATCTTTTCCACAGAAAATGGAGAGGTACGTTACCATTGTTCGCATCTTTGCGAGTCATCAATGCGGGCGGCTAAATTCTCTCTGGGTTTAGACAAAAACCTTCGAAACCAGTCAAGCTGAATTGCAGATTGACAACAACCCGAACTTGCCTCCGTTGATGAACCCTGCCATGCTGGAGGCCAGTGAGGATCTCACAAATTTGTCGCACCTGAATGAGCCTGCTGGTAGGTATCAATCTTGCAGCCATAGCGCAATGGTAACTGAAATCCGTGAAGTCCTCCAGGCTATAAAATTACGTTATGCACAGAAAGAGATTTATACCTACAGTGGTATCGTCCTTATTGCTACGAATCCCTTCGCCCGGGTCGACTCCCTCTATGTTCCGCAAATGGTGCAAGTATACGCTGGCAAACACCGAGCATCTCAAGCACCTCACCTGTTTGCCATCGCCGAAGAAGCATTTGCGTAAGAGCCGATCCTTCGTTCGATCTGTCTCCCCAGCTCACATAATCTGCGCAGCGATATGCTACGAGATGGTAAGAACCAGACCATTGTCGTTTCTGGAGAGTCAGGGGCCGGAAAAACCGTCAGTGCAAAGTATATCATGCGATATTTTGCAACCCGCGAGTCCTCCGATCAGCCTGGCAAGTACACCACAAGTCGGGCCGATGCAATCAGTGAGACCGAAGAGCAGATCCTAGCCACCAATCCTGTCATGGAGGCTTTTGGAAACGCCAAAACAACACGCAACGATAATTCTTCGCGCTTCGGAAAGTACATCGAAATCATGTTCGATGACAAGACCAATATCATAGGTGCGAAAATCAGGACTTATCTCCTGGAAAGATCTCGCCTGGTGTTCCAACCTCTCAAAGAGCGGAATTACCACATCTTCTACCAGTTGGTAGCCGGCGCAACGGATATAGAGAAGCAGGACCTTGGTTTGACTTCGATTGAAGATTTCGATTACCTTAGTCAGGGCGGGACGCCGACGATTGATGGCGTTGACGATCGCACAGAGTTTGCTGCGACCAAAAAATCCCTGAGTACCATTGGCGTGCCTGAGAAGACTCAAGTGGAGATCTTTCGGGTCCTGGCAGCCTTGCTTCATCTCGGAAACGTCAAAATTACTTCCACAAGGACTGACTCCAACTTATCATCTTCGGAGCCTTCTCTTATGCGAGCCTGCGATATGCTGGGAATCGATGCCATCGAGTTTGCAAAATGGATAGTGAAAAAGCAGCTGATCACGAGGGGCGAAAAGATCACGTCTAATCTCACACAACAGCAAGCAATCGTCGTGAGGGACTCTGTTGCCAAGTTCATTTACTCGAGTTTGTTCGACTGGCTTGTTGATAAAATCAACCGTGGTTTGGCTACTGACAATATCTTGAGCAACTTCAAGTCCTTCATAGGCGTCCTGGATATTTACGGATTTGAACACTTCGCAAAGAACTCCTTCGAGCAGTTCTGCATCAACTACGCCAACGAGAAATTACAGCAGGAATTCAACCAGCACGTCTTCAAACTTGAGCAAGAAGAATACATACGCGAACAGATAGATTGGACATTCATTGACTTCTCAGATAACCAGCCTTGTATTGATTTGATTGAAGCGAAACTGGGTATTTTGTCTCTTCTGGACGAAGAGTCTCGACTACCCATGGGCTCAGATGAACAATTTGTGACGAAACTTCATCTTAATTTCGCCGCGGACAAACAGAAATTTTATAAAAAACCACGTTTTGGCAAATCTGCGTTCACGATCTGCCATTATGCTGTTGATGTAACATATGAATCCGACGGGTTCATAGAGAAGAACAGGGATACTGTGCCTGATGAGCACATGGAAATTCTGCGCAGCTCATCTAATGAGTTTGTGAAAGAAATTCTTGATACCGCTGCCGCTGTTCGCGAGAAGGATTCAGCTTCTATCTCTTCCAAGCCTGTTGCTGCGCCTGGGCGCAAGATTGGAGTTGCTGTCAACCGCAAGCCTACTCTTGGTGGTATCTTCAAGTCGTCATTGATTGAGCTTATGAACACGATCAACTCGACAGATGTTCACTACATCCGCTGTATCAAACCGAATGAGGCCAAAGAACCCTGGAAGTTTGAAGGTCCAATGGTTCTCAGTCAATTGAGAGCTTGCGGTGTGCTTGAAACTGTCCGCATCAGTACAGCAGGATACCCAACACGCTGGACTTACGAAGAATTTGCTATAAGATACTACATGCTTTGCCATTCGTCGCAATGGACGTCGGAGATTAGAGATATGTGTCATGCCATTCTACAGAAGGCTCTTGGTGACGGCACTCAGAAAAAGCAAGACAAGTATCAGCTAGGCCTGACAAAAATTTTTTTCCGCGCTGGTATGCTTGCTTTTCTTGAAAACCTCCGCACATCCAGGCTCAATGAATGCGCAATAATGATCCAGAAGAACCTGCGATGTAAGTACTACCGGCGCAGGTATCTTGAGGCTCGTGCCTCTATCCTTACAACTCAAGCTCTGGCGAGGGGCTTTCTTGCGAGACAGCATGCGGCTGAGATACGCAAGGTCAAAGCAGCTACAACCATCCAACGGGTGTGGAGAGGGCACCGGGAAAGGAGGAACTACACTCGGATTCGCGCCAATTTCGTACTTTTCCAGTCAGTCGCAAAAGGATTTCTCTGCCGACAAAACATCCTGGATACAATACATGGCAACGCAGCGAAAGTAATACAACGATCATGGCGTTCTTGGTGTCAGTTACGCGCGTGGAGGCAGTACCGCCGGAATGTTATCATCATTCAAAATCTCTGGAGAGGCAAGCAGGCCAGGAAGCAATACAAGAAGCTTCGGGAAGATGCAAGAGATCTGAAACAAATCTCCTACAAACTCGAGAACAAAGTGGTAGAATTGACTCAGTATCTTGAATCACTGAAGCGTGAGAACAAGGCTCTGAACTCACAATTGGAGAATTATGAGACTCAACTGAAATCTTGGAGAAGCCGTCACAATGTCCTTGAAAACCGTTCTAGAGAGCTACAGGCCGAGGCCAATCAAGCTGGCATCACTGCTGCTCGATTGACCGCTTTGGAAGACGAAATGAACCGGTTGCAGCAAAATCATAATGATGCGCAGGCAACAGTCAAGAGACTTCAGGAGGAGGAAAGGATATCACGAGAGTCAATACGTTCTGCAAACCAAGAGCTGGAGCGACTACAGCAGCTGAATAGTGAAGCAGAGGACGAGAAAGCTTCGCTTCGTCAACAAATTGTGGAACTCGAGGAACAGCTCGAGATTGCAAAACGAACCGTTCCCATAAATGGCTTGAGTGGTGATCAACCGAACGGTGGGCCAACCCCACCTCCTGCGACCGGCTTGATCAACCTGGTGTCCTCGAAAAAGCCCAAGCCTAAGCGACGCAGCGCTGGTGCTGAACGGATTGACACCGATCGTTTCAGTGGAGCTTACAACCCGAGACCAGTCTCCATGGCTATCCCGAGTTCTGCAATGGGACGTCAGCCATTCACTGGCAATACATTCTCTCCAGGACTGGATTCTGTTGAGGTAGAGCTTGAGAATCTACTATCTGAGGAAGATGAACTCAATGAAGAAGTGACGATGGGCCTGATTCGCAACTTGAAAATCCCACTACCCAGTTCTACACCGCCTCCTACAGAGAAGGAGGTTCTTTTCCCGGCATACCTTATCAATCTTGTAACCTCAGAAATGTGGAACAACGGATTTGTGAAAGAATCGGAGCGCTTTTTGGCCAATGTCATGCAGTCTATACAGCAGGAGGTCATGCAGCATGACGGCGACGATGCTGTTAATCCTGGGGCTTTCTGGCTCTCTAATGTACACGAGATGCTCTCGTTCGTGTTTTTGGCCGAAGATTGGTACGAAGCCCAGAAGACCGATAATTTCGAGTATGACCGCTTGCTGGAGATCGTCAAACACGACCTAGAGAGCCTAGAGTTCAATATCTATCATACCTGGATGAAAGTGCTGAAGAAGAAGCTCTTCAAGATGATCGTACCGGCGATCATCGAATCCCAATCACTTCCGGGTTTTGTCACAAGCGAGACAAACCGATTCCTTGGCAAGCTTCTTCCATCTAACAACAATCCTGCGTATAGTATGGATAATCTCCTCAGTCTCCTGAACAATGTCTACAAAGCGATGAAAGCTTTCTATCTTGAGGAGTCTATCATCACTCAAACGGTGACCGAACTTCTTCGACTCGTGGGTGTTACCGCTTTCAATGATCTTCTTATGCGAAGAAACTTTTTGTCTTGGAAACGTGGGCTACAGATCAACTACAACATTACTCGCATTGAGGAATGGTGTAAGAGCCACGATATGCCTGAAGGAACACTGCAGTTGGAACATCTAATGGTAAGCATGTCTGGCCACTATTCGATATGAGAGGATACTAACCCAATCCAAAGCAAGCAACCAAGCTCCTACAGTTGAAAAAGGCCACCCTGAATGACATAGAGATCATACAAGACATCTGTTGGATGTAAGAACATATTTCCAGTCTTCGCCTTGCTACGCCGAATTCACATGACGCTGACCACTATATATCAAGGCTGTCTCCAAATCAGATACAGAAGTTACTGAATCAATATCTTGTTGCTGACTACGAACAGCCTATCAATGGCGAAATTATGAAAGCGGTTGCGTCTCGTGTCACCGAGAAGAGCGATGTGCTTCTTCTTACTCCCGTTGACATGGAAGACAGTGGCCCGTATGAAATCGCAGAGCCTCGTGTCATCACAGCCTTGGAGACATACACACCGTCCTGTAAGTGAGATTCGAAGGCTGTGGCCGCCGTAAGCCTCACTGACATTTTCAAAGGGCTACAAACACCGCGACTGAAACGGCTTGCCGAAATAGTATCAGCACAGGCAATGGCTCAACAGGAAAGGTTGGATATGACAGAAACGAGCGATGGAGCGATCCCTGGCAAATAACTTGTACATTGGAAATAGCCCTATCACATCACAATGGCCACCTGGTGAAAACTTCAGGGACTAGCAGCTCTGATTACCCGCTCTTTGATTCAGCAAAAGTGCACCATCATCTTTCGTCGATTTTATCTCAAAGCCGATCATCAAGTGCTTTCCCTGCCTTTCTCTCTCACATTCCAAATTTCTCTTCATTATATATTACCATTGCATCAACAATACTGTTATCGATCGAGCAATCAAGATTCTGGTATGCAGATTTGCTCAAGCCGCGAATATTCACCCACCAAGGGACGCTCGGACTTCCGGGCTGACTTCTGGGCATACTTGGGGTTTGGAGCGCAGTAGTACTTGTGGGGTTGTGGAGAAAAGAATTCGTACGTACCCGTCGGCGCTGACCAACATTTTGACAACACTACATTTCTTCCATGTTTCCATGTTCTAGTCGCCAATCTCAACCCAAGAGTCGTCTCACAGTTGATCAAACTAGCCACATTTTTTTCATTGGGAGCATCGCAAACATGGCGCCTCTAAAACAGTTGAATTTCATCACGGGCAACAAGAACAAGTTGGCTGAAGTGAGGGCTATCCTAGGCAGTATAATCCATGTCGATAGCCAAGCGATTGAAGTGCCCGAAATTCAGGGCACAGTCGAAGAAATTGCCAAGGACAAATGTAGACGTGCTGCAGAAGCGGTAAGCAGCGATCTTCTGATAAGTCCGAGGGTGAAAAGATATTAAAACAAGGTTGTTCCTGCTAACGTGATCGAGCAGGTTAGAGGTCCAGTCTTGACGGAAGACACGGCTCTGGAGTTCCATGCGCTGAAAGGTCTACCTGGCCCATACATGTAATGTCTTCAGTGCCTGAAAAGGCTTAAGCGTGACATGCTGATGTATGACCAAGCAAATCGTTTCTTGACGCCCTGGGCCACGAAGGGTTGAACCGAATGCTTGACTCATTCGATATAAAAACAGCAGAGGCCGTCTGTACCTTTGCGTTCTCTGAAGGCCCTGGGTCGGAACCTATCTTATTTCAGGGTAGAACCGAGGTAGGATTGACTAAAACATGCCATCGGGATCTGCAACTGACGCCAGCTGTGAAGGGCGCTATTGTCCGCCCAAGAGGCCCCGCAAACTTTGGTAGGTGTACACAGGGACAGACAGTCTTTAATCTAATCACTTGTGATTAATTCATGCTTCTTTTCTAGGTTGGGATCCGATCTTCGAATACCAAGGCAAAACGTATGCCGAGATGGATAAAGACGAAAAGGTACCCTACGGAATTCCCTCCCCTCCTTTTACTTCATTGGTCGCTAAATCTTGGTTAGAATCAAATCTCCCACAGATACAAAGCTCTAGTCAAACTGCAAGCCTGGCTAACCCGTGAAAGATCCTGATCTGATTCTTCCCAGCTGTGATGGAGCCTGCTTGAGGCGATTGAATTTGACTTTAACATGTCAGTAGTAGTCAGTCTGTATTTAGTGCCTGGCTGCTCTTCCAGGACTCTATCCAGCCAGAGATTCGTGCGCAATTGGATTCTACATCGTCATCCTTTTCACTATTTAACTCAACCACAATCTCTTCGTCGAATGATTCGCGGGCTTCCTCGAGAAGAACACCGAATATTTCCGCATCCAAATTTTCTTGCAGCTTTGCTTGCTTGTAGCCCCTGTGAAAAAATCGAATCATAGTCAGAAACTAGGCTTTCTGTATAAACGAGTTATTGAAGTCTAAGGTTTGGAGGTACCTCGATGTTAGACGGTCATATAGAATGGACGTGGATGGGCAACGTAGAACCACCACGAGATCAACCCAGGACTTGGGGAAAAGATCACAGGCATGCCAATCGATCAAGTAGCCACCTCTCAGCAGTTCCTCTTCGACAGCATCCAGAAGCTGAAATTAAGATTGCTTAGTATGCCGCCAAGTATTGAACAGGCGTGAGATCATAAAAAGGACACAAGATATCGGGAACCTATATTGGACGCACTTTGTCTTCATCAACAACCCAGGTTTGCAATTCCTGGTCGTAGGTGTCGTAACAGCCCCGGTCTTTCGCGATCTGATTGATCGAAAGATGTCGCAAACCAGTCTCCTCGGCCAGCTGTGCACAGTGAACAGTTTTACCTACACCAGGCGTCCCTGTAATGACTATGTTCGGAGTTGTTCGCATGCTGAAACCTCGCTGTGCAGGTTTTAGCACTGAAGCCTGCTGCGGTGGTTGATAGTCATCGCAAGGCGAAATTTCTGGTGGCGGCTCAATTGGTTACTTTGCCTTGCGTCGCGGGGCACAATCGGAACAACCCACCAACCGATTTTAGCCGGGGGGTTCCAAACCGCCGGGTATGTAGTACTCTGTACGGAGTACTTGACAGTATTGCACCGGGGTGTAAACATCCTATTACACTACCATGTGCGGCAGCTTGACTAATGTAATCATCTAGGAAAGAATGCTATCTGGTTTTAGAGATATTCGGTAGTCATGCTTCAAGTAACCGACAGGGTTGTAACGCATCACTGCTAGGGCGATTCAACCGTCTCTGCTGCCCCATTCTCTACGGGCGGAGCTACGCTTCAGAGAAGGTGAGACCGTGCTAGCTAAACCATTGATAATCTGTGATTGAACAGTCAACTCAGATTCGAGACCATCTCTATAGACCTCCGTGGTATATGGCGACCCTTTAAATTTGGCAGGTGACTTGGAGTCTAGGAGAACAAAACTGTTAGTTGGCATTTGTACCGATGGTAGAATGCTGTGACTTACTTGAGAAGTTCGAATGCGGTATATTTTTGTAGGTATGCCGTCCCTCGCCTGTATCCTTTGAGAATCCTGGCAGGGTCGGGGTTCAACCCTGGAGTGTCTTTTAGTCGCCTTATTGCAGGGGGCGCTTTGAACATCGGGTCGAAAACCAATAAGTTTGCGCTTCCATTATCACGAATTTCGAACCCAACAATTGTCATAGAGTGTCCTATATAGGGGCTCTCGCATGTCAGCTCTTGCGCTTGGGACGGAGAATAAAAGGCGGGGGTTGTCCAAACCCTGGTGCTGAAAATAGATGGGTGGTAAGTCGGTAGAAATGACCTTGTCTTCCCTCTCCAGGTTGCGTGAGTCCCGGAAATAGGAAGCAACGTTCATGAACAATGCATCATGGGCTCGCATGCTCTCCGTGGGTCCAATGCTGTTGGCTACGCAGCTATAACTAGTCAGTTTCTTGTATCTGAGGCGTTGGTGAGATGGGCTGACAACTTACAGTATTCCGAGACTTGAAAACAGCGCTTGAGCCTGTGCAATAAAACATCAACCGGACTTTCTTCTTCCCGGATGTGGGAGCTGAAGCAGAAACGTATTACCTCAGGTGTGCCAATATATTTTCTGGTCCCCCGAATGCCACCAGTTTCAATTCTTCCTACACTGTTGAATCCCTTGTCCCATGCATTCTCAATCATATCCTGGAGCTGAAGGATTGTAGGCAGTTCCCCAGAGAAGCACTCATACCCTAGTAATCGAGCGTTTTTGATATAAGTGATTAGCATCTGGATATTCCTGTAGCCACAGAAGCCGCCTTCCCTAGGAATTTTTGAGATTTGGTGTACCATGGAGCTACAGAAGAAGGCACGCTGGACAGATTTATCACGATCACATAACCGGGCAAGCACAGAGATCACGTCCGTCAACTCGTTCTCAAAGGTTTCCGCCTTTCGAAGTGCACCGTTAGAAGAAAGGGTGTTGGTCAAAATCGGCTTGGGACCTTTTTCAAGCACTCTTCGCAACCACGCGGGCATTCGCTTTTCATTCGCATGGGGCCCTAATTCTGACCGCTATAGAATGGTCAGCGAGATACACCGCCCGTGAGACAGATGATCTGTCTCTAAGTATAAAATAATAAAGTAGAGAGCTGATAGGTTCAATACCCCAAGTCGTTTGATGCCTCCAGTAAGAACACAGTTCTCCAGTCCAGCTGACACTGTGAGTGGTTCGGATCCTTTGAGAGAAAGCTTTGGGAGCGATGAAGTGCCAATGCATTGTTTGTGAGTAGTTCTAGCAGGCTCTGACAGTTCATTTGGCGGGCGAGTCGAGTCCTCCTCAAGGGCGATTTCTTCCGCAGCGTGTAGATCAAGGTGAGACGGCAACTCCGCTTCCATAACCGTCTCACCACAGCCGCAAGGGCAGTCGATGTACCCATCGGGTTGGCCGTCTTGAAAGCCCGGCAACGAGAATTGTTGCCGATGTTGCATCACGAGATGATGGTCTGCATACTGACGGTTCGCTCTATTACTAGCTCGTATGTCATTATCGGGGTGGCAAGATTCCACATGTTCCATAACAAAATTGCTGTCGGCATCAGAGAAGGGACAAAAGGGGCATGTCGGATCGCCATCAGTTGGGTGATCCATAGAGAGTCGAATTTCATGGAATAACACTGAAGAGGCGTTTGGCGTTTAGTCAAGGGAATCAAAATTAGGCCAAGGGCAATCTCCTAGCGAACGAGAACCGGAGAGTAATGTTACGCGTTATTAACTAAAGTTACAATTGCTGTCTGTGGGGCCCCGAGCGAACACTGATAAATATGAATTAAATACGGAATCTCGACAGGCTTGAAGCCCAGTGCCCGGCGTCCGACGTCCGGCGTCCACATGCGCAAGATTATGAGACTGGTGAGGGACGACTACCTAGAGAGGTGTGGCGGATACGGAAAATTATCATTGGCAACCAAGATTTTCCAACCTGAGTCTTCGAGATTCACATTCAATTACGATTCCACGTGACATCACCCGCAAATCTAGGTGGGTCTGAGATATACTGGTACAGTACACAGTACTCCGTAGTATACTTCTGACCTAAAGGCGAGTAGCTTGATTAGATGACTAGCCTGAGGGGTCCGAAAAGTAAACAAAGCTTCTGATGCATATACTGTTTGATTGATGCTAGTGCATCAAAGAGGGATTTGGAGACACGGTCAGAGCCAGTAAGTGACCGTGAGCTATTGTTTGGGACGATAGTCAATTCGAGGCTCAGAAAGACCTAAGTACATCCAGAGAACTGACAGAATACATTTGTAGCACTACATTTTAGTGAGGCAGATGACTGAGTCAGTTGGCTCTCTCTGTATACGTGGTTGATTGTCTACCTAGCCGTAGTTGAAGTTGAGTTACTTACTCATAGTCAAGTTGGTTGACTTATAACTTAGTCCACTGAGTAGTTAGTTATAGTTAACTAAGTAAGCTCAAATGCCATGACTAATAAACATACTAAGCAATCAGACTTTTTCCCTCCGATATCGTGATCCGCACAATGGAAGGCGGAACAGCAAAAGGTAAAGAATGATTCGCTCACCTTTGTCAATGCTCTGCTCCGCTTTCGCAGACCCCGCCAGGTGCACATAAAAATGGCTGTCCCGCAACCGGAGCCGATCGCAAGGGCATGTTACTGACTTCTTGATTGCGAAGACCCCAAACCTGTTCTCCTAGTTTTCAGTATGAATGAACCGCTAGTCCTCGAGCAAGAGTCCTCATCCATGGTCAATATCGGCCTCCAGGGCTCTTCTGGCAGCAATTGGGTCGTGCAGAAGTTTGGTGGTACGAGCGTCGGCAAGTTCGCCTTGAATATTATCGACCAGGTCGTTCTGTAAGTGGCCTCAATCTCCTCCTGCCCAGTACAGAGCCCACCATAGAGATTGATTAACCTCTTATATCCAGTCCAAGTCTTTCCGAGCATCGTGTTGCTGTAGTTTGCTCAGCGCGAAGCAGCTCGACCAAAGCTGCCGGTACCACCAACCGGTGAGTCATATTCCTCCCTGAGCAGCGATGGCAACCGCAATTGCCCAAAGTCTCCCATCGTTGTGCCCCCGGGGCAGTCCTCAAGTCTCACCAAGCCAGAGTCTAATCAAGTACTTCATTGTCAGGTTACTCCGAGCAGCGCGGGATGCGGAAGACGCTCTATCTCAGCAATATGCCTCTCTTGTAGAGGCCGTTCGGTTGGAACATATTCAGGTAGTCGGAGATCAAATCCAGTCAAATACACTCAAGTTACGGCTGGTTTCTGAGATCAATGCGGAATGCGACCGAGTACTCAAGGTGTTGGAGGCTGCGCAAACACTTGGTGAGATTAGCGCAAGGTGCATCGACAAGGTGATTAGCACCGGGGAGAAGTTAAGTTGCAGACTTATGGCTGCTTTTCTCGAAGATAGGGGCGTCAAGTCGCAATATGTGGACCTGGCCGAGATTATCAATTTCCCCGTTTCGAGCCAGGGCCTTGACCAAGAATTCTATAATAACCTAGCTGCTGCTCTCGGAAGAAAGATCGAAAGTTGTGAAGATAGGGTCCCTGTCGTTACCGGATTCTTTGGGACTGTACCTGGCGGTCTTCTTGATCAGATTGGACGGGGCTACACTGATCTTTGTGCTGCTCTTGTCGCTGTGGGCATAAACGCGAAGGAATTGCAGGTCTGGAAAGAAGTTGATGGCATCTTCACAGCCGACCCACGGAAGGTGCCAACCGCACGCCTGCTTTCTGCCATCACACCGGCTGAGGCAGCCGAGTTAACGTTCTATGGCTCGGAAGTGATTCACCCTTTTACCATGGAGCAAGTCATCCGTGCCAAAATCCCTATTCGCATAAAGAACGTCATGAACCCGCGGGGAGACGGTACTGTTATATTTCCCGACTCTTCCAGCGAGCTGGAGAAGACGACCCCCGGCCATGATCCAAGACTGTTTCGTACCCGCAGTCCCAGTCTTATGCAGCGGCCGAAGCGCCCCACGGCCGTGACAATCAAACACAAGATCCTCGTCATTAATGTACATTCGAACAAACGATCACTCTCTCATGGTTTCTTCGCAGGAATATTCTCTGTGCTTGATCGATGGAGGCTTTCTATCGATTTGATTTCGACGAGCGAGGTGCATGTTTCAATGGCCCTTCATTCCGAGATGCCCTTGCTGAATGGGACTGGGAGAGACGAATATCAGATCATAGACGATGACCTGAAGGGAGCCATCCAGGACCTTCAGAAGTATGGAACCGTCGATATCATACCAGAGATGGCAATTCTCAGTCTTGTGGGAAAGCAAATGAAAAACATGATTGGAGTTGCGGGACGGATGTTTTCGACTCTGGGCGAAAACAATGTTAATATCGAGATGATTTCTCAAGGTAAGTATCCTTAGACACTTTGCTACTGTCCAATAACTAATCAACACTGTGTCTCAAGGTGCAAGCGAGATCAATATTTCTTGCGTCATTGAGGAGAGAGACGCCGATCGCGCTTTAAACATAATTCACACCAGCATGTTCACCTTTTTAGACTAGACCAAAGCTTTGACGTATGTCTTTCTTCACTTGCTTCATTTGTACTTTCTGTAAAGTGCATCCTGGTCTCTGGCAGTATAAGATATCCTTTGCAAATTTCGGTTCGTGAAAAGCTCGATTCTGGTCCACGCTGATCCTACTCCCAAGTCATGGCTGTTATCTGGGCCCCGACTTGCTTGTTGTTGCTGATTGCGTGTGAATGTTATTGGTCACCTTGTTATCTTGGTTGCGTTTCTCCTCTGCGATCCCTCGATTCATGATGCTTTCCCCCGCCCCCTCTCATACTAGTCCTGTGTTCCTTGCCTTTGTGGTGTGCATGTGTCGGCGCTATGTATTACAAGAGTCTTTTCGGATGATCATGTTTCTACTGCATCTTGTCAAAACAGGACCGACAGAACCTTTAGATGATTACTAAATAGAACTATCATGTTTGTTTTCTTGTCTACTATAACATAGACTGAAGCTTGAAAGATGCGCCAGAGGTCTGTAGGTGTTCTGCTATAGAGCGGGATAAGTGCTCCATTGCCTATAAAACGTACGCACGGGGGGAAGGTCATTGAAATAACTCAGTGCGAATGAATTAAGAAACCATAGCCAACGGCGTAAGCGACTCATTACACACAGCAGTATATATGTACATCTCACTAAATGAACCCAGAGACGGCTGGCCTCGGGTTGATGAAGATCTCAAACTGCAAAATTAATAAATGAAGAAGTCTGGTTCCTCAATAATGCGCCCTTACAGATGCATCGCCCTTGCACCCAAGGACTTAGGTGCAAGAAACACTCCCACAAATGCAGTAATATAGATCAGCCCAAGTGCGGAAGTGGAAGCACAGGGTGTTTTCATAGGACCACTCGTACACACAGGTCCATATATACATAAATACCTTACCTTAAAGAGATCGACTGGAGTCATACAAGTATAAGTAAAGAAGGGATGGGACGCCGCTGGATCAAATCTTTAACACAACCATACTCATGCATGAGTACTGCAGACTGTACGTACGACACAGAACATCCTTACGTAGTCATGCAGGTACTGACCAAATTTCACATCTGAGCCAAGGCTAATCAATGTATCCGTACATGCCTCATGATGGGGCACATTGCTCGCGAGGGTCTACTAGTAGTTACTGTCTACTGTAAAGTTTTACAGTACTGTATGTAATGAATGTATTCCCACTATAAGGTCCGGGCGTTTGGTACTTATCATGTACAGTAACTATGTAGCAAAAGATGTGGTACGTATACAATGTGAGTACGGACCGGACCTTGTGGGGGAGCATAGTATAGAGCAGTACGAAAATGTAGCAGGGCACAGTGCTAGTAGGTATATAATAAGTAATATGAGTACTCCGTACTCCGCACTCCGTAACTATAGCTTAAAACCTCAATTCAAATTCACTGGCAGTGGTCTATATTACTCTAATGACCTAATCGATTGAACTTAAGTGCAAGCGGGTGGCCCACCCCATCACGATCTGCCGATTGCACAGCAAGTGATTGGAGGAGAGCTTGCTCCCTTCTGGCGGCAATGGAGCAAGGAGACCAATCAGTAATGTCCAATCCGTACATGTCTTGAGCGCCAAATTCAATGTGTATCGTCATGTGTGACAATACTGGAGCGCTGGATCCGGGTTATGAACATGTTCTCCGCTGGAAGAGACGCGTCTTCATCACGCGTCAAAACCATACCATACTACCTGACAGGACGCGCAGACTCCCTATCAACAGGTTTGGAGTCATGCTTGTCCTTCTTCCCTTTCATTCTTCAATCTGCTAAGAATTGCTATTCTCCAAATAACTCGCGCATATTCCACTTCCCCCCCCCCCACCTTGCCTGGAGGGACCTACCTTACCAGGCAAAGGCATCTTGAACTTAGAGGTGAGAGCCGCTTTCCCGGGTACCTCCTCTTTTTCGATTTCCTACCGACCTAGTCTTCGTCACCTTGCAATATCTTCGAACCTACGAATTAAGTATCCTCCGCGTCGCTCTCATCCTTGCAGCATCTGGATCATTCACAAAGTAGAACAACAAGTGAAAAGGCATATTTTATTACTTGAGGCTATTGTGAAGCCAAAATATCAGTCACAATCGCGTTTACCCTTCTCGCTGCACCTGATTTGTGCTTGATTATCGCCATATGCTACCTCTACTCCATGAGGTGGCCTGACTGTTAAGTCTCTTAGCACGGATCTTCTCATCCTTCTTCAAGGCGTATGGGCGACGCCCTTGTCTTCTAGGCTTCATTTGGTCGCGATACAACTTGAATGTTAATTGCTTCCGTTATCGGTGCCCTATCGAAGCCCGACGTCTCTGATTCAAGTCCGTCACCATTAATTTATTCTCAGAGACGGCAACGTTTTTGGTGCTCATCAAGCTCCCATTCATTCTCCATAAAAAGTCGCGCTGGCCGCAAATATGAGCTCAACACACTCAGTGTCGACTGTTTCGGGGCCCTCACCACCCCTTCATGGCAGGGTCGTGTCCAAGCCACATCCTCACCTGGAGCCATCGCCTCTACCATTGCAGCCTGTTGAGAATGTTACCTCAACTCAAGTTCGTGAACTGTGTCCGATTCCTCCTGGCTCACGAAGATTGTCACCGACGAAAGCGTATCGAGGATCAGCTGCTTCAATCTCAGGCCGAGGGAAGTTGGGATTTGTCCCGATCACAGCTCCCCCTCCGCCAGCCTTCACGACCGATTCACCCACAAAGCGACCATCTGTTCCAGCGTTCAGTCTGATAACTGCTACTTCATCAATGCCGCAATCTGCCCTTTTCACAACCTTCCCATCAGTCAACCCTGGTAAACGGTCACATAAGGAAACTCATATATTAGATGATACTCCCAGTGACAGTTTTGCTGACTTCCCTGAGCCTACTTCAATGTCCAAGCATCCTACGAAAAGAACACTTTTAGACGCCGCCCCACTTAAGGAACGGGCAGCCAAAAAAATGAAGCGTGAAGACATTACTGCGATGCGACTCCCAGAACCATACGAGATGCCACTGATCGAAGATGACGGCACAAAACCACCGTACAGCTATGCAACCCTGATTGGAATGTCTATTTTACGTGCTCCTAACAGGAAGCTGACCCTTGCACAAATATACAAGTGGATATCTGACGCTTTCTCATACTACAAGAATAGTGATCCTGGATGGCAGAACAGCATTCGCCACAATCTCAGCCTTAACAAAGCATTCATTAAACAGGAGCGACCGAAAGATGATCCAGGCAAAGGCAATTATTGGGCTATAGAGCCTGGCATGGAGGCGCAATTTCTCAAAGACAAGCCCCTGCGCCGAGCGACAATGTCAAGTCTCCCGCTCCCGGCAGCTCCTTTTAGGGATCCGGCTTCCTCCCAGAGCTCAAGTACAACCACATGGGCTGTTCCACCACCGACATTTACTACAACAGCGAAACCCTCGAAGACTGTGGATCTGTCATCTGACGCAACGCTTCCTGCTTCTGACCCCGCTCTCCAAGATGATACAGGCGACGAAAGTGTGAATTGCAATGTTTTGCAGCCTCCAGCTCCTCGTTCTTCTCCTCCCCAACCAATCCACTCGTCACCTCCTGTTATAGCACCTCGCTACTCCCGCCAAGGAACCCCTCCAACTCCTTCCCTTCACAATACATCTTCCAGCATTGTTCACATCAACAGCAAGCGCAAATCGCATGCTATGAATGATAGCGGTTACTTCTCGTCCTTGGAATCTTCTGCCATGCGACCAAACAAGGCCGGGCATATCCTGACCTCGGATTTGGAAATCGATCCCCCTCGCATCAAACGCGGTCGCGCAGAAGAAGAGATTGCCCGCATTCGAAGCTCGTCACATGACGTAAGCCCCGGTCATTGCGCATCGATGAAAGAGCCAGGGGTCATCGTGAATTCCTCTCCACTACGCGGTGAATATGTCAGCATGCTACCTCCTCCAATTACGCCCTTAATCAAGTTCAAGAAACCAGCAAAACCGCCGCCGTCCGTGTCGCCGAACACTAACCTTCGTAACCATCGAAAGAAAATTCAGCAGATGGTGAATTCTCCCATCAAACATCTGGGACTGACGGATGAGGACCTTCCATGGAGTCCTGCCTTCAACATTCAAGACGAGAGCTTTACACCAAGTGACAGTCCAAATACGAGCTTCGATGTTTTTGCAGATCCTGCTACAGACAACTTATCAAATGCGGCATATGGGTCTCCTGAGAAACGCTCGGCGAAGCGTACCCGAGTTAATCCTGGGGGATCCAGCAGTAGTATACTGGCTGATATTACAGCGGTGAGTGTTAACACTCGCATTGGTGTGCCGTCGATTCCCTCCAACAAAAAAAGTCTTCTCTTCCCTGACTCCCCGTCCAAAGCCCCAGAATCAGGGCGCTACATCGACGCCACTCATGATGATTTCTTCGCATTCCATCTTTTCGATGAGAGTCCAGGAGAGGTTGATGGCGTCGACCTCTTGCAGGGATTTCAAAAAATTGGGGATGCAAGCAAGGAAGAGACTTCGCGTCTAAAATCATATGCACCGAGGCCGCAGTTCAATCATCGCAGCAACACGTCCTTGTTTTGATCTTGCACAAGATAGGCTTATATTGGAGAGTCGCCGAGTTAAAAAAAAAAGTGCAATAGGCTCCAACTATGCCAAATTGCGTTGTATGTCACTATTCCAACGATGCGCGCCATCTAACCACTTTGGCTGAGATATTGTCATCCTACGGATGATGATATATTACGCGGACTAGGAACCAAAGTCTCCCTCCTTTATTGTTCTGATTCTGTTGATTTATCTATCCATGATTAAATCGGTGTTTCTGGCGTTCTTCGGACAAAGGGGATAATCATTGCGGCTGAGATGACCTTCTTATGACCTTTACGATGACATCTGATCAGATGTACATGAGCAACATTTTGTTTCACGAACTTTGAGGGTATTATTCTGATTTTGTATGTAAACAACACAAGTCAGTCTGTGGTTCCCAGTTAACGGTCATAATAATTATCCTACTCTATTGAAATTCTTGAACGTCTTGGATTTGGGTATCATAACGGTCGTAGCAGAGCCAACCAAACAAGGAAACAATGCCAAAATACAGCATCGATGACTTCCTTCAGGTCCAGGCATATTAGACAGGAAAAGAGGAAAGACTACATCTCTAAAGACAGGCAACATATTAAACCCGCCCAAACGCCGTATATGAGGCCCGTCCTGTCAGATTATTACCGCTTTAAATAAGTGGTTCGGAGCCGCACGCGCGAAGATTGTTGTCCGACAATTGCCCCGCTGCCATAAGTCTAGTCACTGCTTGCACAGCCTCGACAGCCACAGCTTACACATTGAATCGTTTGGTCTTCCTTTAGTTGCGCTTTCGGTACCCGACAAATGCAGGTTGCATTGAAATTCGTTTCTTTTGTCTGTATGCAGCGGAGGCAACAGAGCTTAACCATACCAAGTCAGCAATGTGAACATGTTATTGCGATGCAAGCCGCATCGAAGGTAATAGGAAATATTAGGGAAAGACCTTTTCGTAGCCTTGCTTTTTCCACTTGGCAATCAAGTTTGAATCGGCATAGTTATTCTTGAGAAGCCACTCGTAGAGTTGTTTCGATATTGCTTCCTTCTCATAATACAGGTCGTATATATATCGAGATCCTAGGTTCATATCACTTAGCCACTAAAGATATATGTCGATTGCGGTCTTGAAGGCCGACTAATGCGAGGAGCTGTAAGTGGGGATAGCAGGACAAGGGGAATGCGCACTTTGATGACTTATCTGAAATATAGGCCACAGCATCTCATGCTTCTTCTTCCCGTCGTGTGATGCATTTTCTGCATCTTTCATCTTGTTGCTGAATTCGAGTAAGGTATCTTCAATATCATCGAAACCCGCCGGAGGTGGCTTGCGGGTACGTGAAGTTCGAATAGGAGGCATACTGGGAGGCACGGCGCAAATGCAGAAAGAGGCGGAGGTGTAAGAGATTGGTATATTACGTAGGACAAGATAAGTAGATGATGTTCGACTTGTCGCGAAATTGCAGAGACAAGCCAACAGATGATTGATGCCTCGAACGGTCATAAGAAACGGTAGTCCTTTTTGCCATCTCACACCGCCATGTGACAGGTTCGAGGAAATGCTTGTGCGGGCTGACTTTGGTTACCAGGAAGAAAAGAGCCCAACCACCCGGTTAGACACCAGCTTCCCGGCACACATCTTCTTCCCAACAATTCTTTCCTCCTATCCTGTTGTCTCTGGCCAAGATAAAAAAAATCCACCATGGATACTCAAACGCAACTCGACATCGCCAAGCTCAATGATGCCGACAGAAAAGAATTGACCCAGTACCTCGCAAACGAGGCACAGAAATCCAACATCCAGCAAAGTAAGTTGAACAGGGAATAGCCATAGTGAACTGAGCGAGCGGGCTTTTTGAAGAATGTCGACTGATTGTCATTACTTCTGCAAGCTGTTCATGGCCTGGCCGATATCTGTTGGAAAAAGTGCATCACCGGAAAGATCTCGTCGGGCCGCCTTGATCACTCCGAGGAAGCCTGTGCGCAGAATTGCGTGGAACGATGGATGGATACGAACTTTGCTGTCTTGAAGCACCTCGAAACCCTGCGAGGACAATGAAAGCTTTGTGTTCGGTATACTAATGTATACAACTGCCTTTCGAGCTCGCTCCATCTAGACAATATTGGTCTGCTGTGTTGGTTTTCCCAATTCTCCACTCACTTGGATCGAGACCTTTCTTTGACAGGAATCCAAAATTGCTATATCCAGGCCACACCAAGGAATTGAAAGCCTCAAGTAGACCTATATACACGCATATCGTACTCCACCAATCCCATGAATTAGTCCTGGACCCGAGAAGCGCCATGCATCTCATGTTCACATCCACCGGAATTTTACATTTAAAGGCTTCTCCACTAAGACGCGGGAGAGTATAACGGGGTATCATCCTGTGTCATCTATACTTGATTACTATATCATGGGTTCGGGTAATGCTTTTCATTTTTTGATTTGATCATTGCATCCTCGTCGAAGCACAGGCAGTTAACTGTATATTTGATATTGATGAACCACCGCACAAAACTAAAAGAAAAACCCGTCCAGTCCCAGACAAACCCATCTAGACGATAGCAAGCTTGGTGGCAGCAATGTCCAGAGCGTCGACGTCGGGAGTAAGACGGGCGTAAGCCTTCTTGGAGCCGTCGGGTCTGGAGAAGTTAGATTTGTCACCGGTCATCTCTTCAAGTGCAGAGCGATTCACATACCTGACAAGAGTGTTGACCTTGACGGTATCGACGTCGTACAGCTGCTTGAGAGCAAGCTTGATCTGACGCTTGTTGGCCTTGACGTCCACGATGAACACAAGGGTGTTGTTCTCCTCGATCTTCTTCATGGCGCTCTCCGTGTTGAGGGGGAAGAGAACGACCTTGTGGGCATCGAGGCGGGGCGCGTGGGGGATCGACTTGCGAGGGTACTTGGGCGACCGGGAAAGCTGAAGGGTCTTGGGGCGGTGGAAGGTGGTCGAGGTGCGGACCTTGCGAGCCTTGTGCGCCTGGAAATCGAAAACGTTCAGCATCAACCAGATCATAGGTGGCTCGGGTGTCAAGGGAACATACACCTGCACCCTTCAGAACTGCCTTGGCAGCAGCACCAGCCTTGCTGCTGGGCTTGGTCTTGCCTGTACAATTCCACATGTCAGTCGCTGTGGTTCACTAAGAAAAATTGTTCATTTCGACGGCCGGCCCGCGAGACAGTCAAAACAGATGGCGCGAGTGCCAAATCAACGCTGAGTTCAATTTCGCCATGTTGCTCCTGCTTTGCTGTGCTGGGATGAAAATCACGTCGATTCCACAAAATTCCACCGGAATGTATCACTCGATGCGCGCAAATTCGGGTTTCGGAATAGGAGAATCCGCAGACTCAAACATCATGGGGTAGTCGCACGAAATTAACCTACCTTGCTTGTTTTCCACCTTAGGGGCCATGGCTGTCGTCCGGCGCTGTCGTGGTGATTGTCGCAGTGTCGAGAGTCGAATTATTTGGAAGGTATTCGCTTAGCGAAAACCCTACGGATGCTGTGTGGGTCACCTGACCTTCCCGTTCTCCAGGCTGCTCAAATATCTTGGCGTCCTCTGAAACAGGCTAGACTTAGCTTTATAACTGTCTCTATTATCACGTGTGATTTGAGTGGCGAAGTTTACTGGTCTGGCCGACTCGCTCCGGCTCGATTAAATTCTACGTATCATGCTTCTACCTAAGCCAGGGCGTTAAGCGGTCAAGTTCTCCTACGTAGGCATCGCGTTCGCTCGTGTATTGCTGTGGGATTCGAAGCGGAAATAGCGAAGCACCCTACCGCCATGATAGACTCCAAAAGACAAAGGCTCAAAAGGCCCACTCTTCTTTCTCGGACTCGCCCACCAACAATCAAGCCAGGCCACGCAAGCCTCTCGTCAAAAGCGACCCGAAACCTCATTCGCTCACATCACAGACTACTCAAAGCACGAACGCAGGCTTCGCAGACCGGCGATGCAGCCTCAGTGGCTAAAATTGATGCCCAGATCGAAGAAAACGGTGGTTTGGAAAGCTACCAACTTGCGAGCAAGCTGGGCCAGTCGTCCACTCGCGGTGGTGATTCCAGCAAACTTCTGGTTGACTGGCTAGCCCCACGACTACAGCCACTGGAAGGCAAACATTACAAATATCGTGTGCTCGAAGTTGGAGCGCTTAGCACCAAAAATGCCTGTTCCTTGAACCAATCGCTTGAAGTCACTAGGATCGATCTGAATTCCCAGGAGGCAGGCATTTCGAAGCAAGATTTTATGGAAAGGCCTCTTCCAGAACACGTGGGCGACCAATTTCATGTTATCAGTCTCTCTCTAGTCCTCAACTATGTACCGGATGCCCTCGTCAGAGGTGAAATGTTGAAGCGCTGCACATCTTTTCTGGTCAAATCGCCACCATCTGGTCTTTGTCAAGATGCATGCTCTTGCTTGTTTCTCGTTCTGCCAGCCGCCTGCGTTTATAATTCTCGCTACCTTACGGAAGCCCGGCTGTACGATATAATGTCAAGCATGGGGTTTATTCTGTCAAACAGCAAGAAAACTCATAAACTTATCTACCAACTCTGGGAATATACTGGTAATTCCAACCCCAGGTCTTTCGCCAAGGAAATGCTGAATCCTGGCAAGGTCAGGAACAATTTCGCCATCATTGTCAAATGACACATCCGTGGCATAAGGCATTAACGCAGAAGAATAAGGCATTAACGCAGAAGAATAAGGCATTCAGTGTCCGGAGCCTCACAATGCAGAAATGGTTTCCTGCGGTATAAAGGACCAGGCAGTCCCAATGAGCGCTAGTATCGAAGAAATGACTAGCAAAGACCAGTTCAGTAGTCGCTCTCGTGGGCTAATCTCTTTGCCGAAGATCTTCAAGTGAAATGCCAGCGGCAGGATAATGCATATTGTGAAGCACAGAGCCGAACCCATCAGCGCCATAATTCTGTCGAATGACGGGAAGAGAACTGCCATGCAAACAATAAGGACGATCACCGCTATACGTATCGCGGCTTTCGAAGCCTCGCGCAGCACAGATTTCATCGCTCCATGCTGGCTTGATTGTCCTTCCGGACGCGGAACAAGTCCACAAAGAACCTCGATGGTAGCCACGAGAGGCCGGCAGCTGCAACGCGTCAATCGAAAGAGCCCTTCTGCGAGGCGCGAAAAGAGTAAGCTAGATATGCTCAACACTTACTTTAAGGGTACCTTAGTAATTGGAATCGTCGCGATAAATACTATCATGCAAATAGATAAGGCACGTGGGAACTCATTTGTCAACAGAATGTTGGCAGTAATCTCATCCCGGACTGTGTCACCAAACATAAGCCAGCCCACAATGGCCATCGCACAATCGAGGGAATACTACAGCGAAACACGGTTGTTAGTTCCAAAAGAGCTTTCAATATTCTTCCCTTATTAATTGTCGTTAGCTTACCGTGAAGGAATACGTCACCACGAGACTCTTGCCGTACTTCTGCGGGTGTCTCATGTCCCGGTAGATATTTGGAAAGACACCATGACCGCCCCACGGTGCTATGAACCATTAGTTGCTCCCATGCATGTTCTAAATGCTCAAAACCAGACTTACACATTATCAGGCCAAAGCTGAGAGGAAGGGTTGCCCACTTATCCGGCAGCAGTGAAGTCCGGGCTGGTTGGAGCAGGGAACCCGGCGCTGTTGCTTTCAGCACCCCATCAATGCATATGATCAAGACAACTGCTCGTGAGGTCAGTATGATATGTCATAAACCTATCAAGGTAGTAGACGTACTAGATGTGCAAGACAGAATGCCAAGAATACTTGTCACACTGAGAAGCCGCAAGGGTAAGAAGTTTAGAGGGATAAGCATGAGCCCACAAATAAATTTCCAATGGAGAATGCTGAGACCTGGCACTAGAGCTTGCAGGCTATCTGCAAAGAGTACAACAAGGGCAACACAAGCCCCTATGAGCTCCAAGCAGAACAACAGACTCGTGACTAAGCGCGCGTGATACCCAAAACTGATATACGCTAGATCAGCGTAAGTGACAAGACTTCGGTCAACATCCAAGCACTTTGCCAGGATTTTCGCTGTATATGCTGTGGTAAATGCTGCGAAAAGTAAGAACGTCAGTCCTATAAGCCAACCCGCTTGTTTCATTGCCAACGGTAGGCTTAGAAGACCGATGCCGATTAATACGTTTACGGAATTGAAAATAGTTTGCGGAACAGTAGATTGCCCAACAACCACACATTCGCGCGTACCATTGTTGTGTTGGACTTGCTTGACAAGTAGTGACGCCCCTTCGGGTTCCACTGCGGTATCACCGCGACTTTTTTGTTCCCTGTGAAGTTGGGCTGCATTCCTTCGCGCTGTTTGACTGATTCGCGAAGAAATTGTACCGTAGGATGTCCCAAGCAAGGGCTCACATCTGTCTGGACTCGTGCTCGGAACCCCCGAATAGACCTGTGTAGCAGTACTGCGGTTTTCCGCACCCCCGTCCGAGCTCAGTAAAGGCCGTGTAGAGCTCACCTCATGGTCGCGCTGATCGTACGACCTGGGAAGACTTGATCGTATAGCATCCCACTCTTCGTCTGCGTCAGCTGTCACGAAGGAGGGGCGACGAGGTAGAACCTCGGGGAAGCATGCGGCTCGCTGCCATGACCGTGCGAAGTTGTCGATGCTATTGACTCCGCCGGCTTGCCGAAAACGCGCGGAGAAGGAGGCCGATCTGGGTTGCTCATTTTAGAGGCTGTTGTTGGCCACCGTAGGAAGCGGGAGCCAAAGTTTACCTTGACCTGGGCATAAAACCCTCATCTTCCGGAGAGCTGCTGAAGCTATCGGTCTCAGATGGTGACGTTGAGGTTGACCTGCCATGAGCAGTGGGCCAATGGTGGCTCGAATCTCCAACCTCATCGTAATCCAACAAAGCGGGTTGTGACATTTTATTCTCGTATGCACTTCAACTTGGATTCTCGTGCTAGTCAGCAAGGTGATATCAGTGCGCTGTAACGGCAATTGCTGGACAGGAGCGTGAAGGAGGCGTGATAGAATATTGATGGCCGTCCAAGTCGGGACCAAGAGCGGCGAACAACGATATGGAAGTGACAAGCCAAAGAGGTGGAGGAAAGAGAGAAGGAAAAGTAGAACGGAAGCAGTGCCCACAGACGCCTTGACTTGTTTGGGTGGAGTGACTTAGTCGGGGCCGATGACTACTTATCAAGACGAGAACAAGGAAGGTGGGAGACCATTCTAGAGTCTGTGTACACAAGCCAGGGTCGTGACCCTCTTATACGCACAATCGTTGAAGCTCATATCGAAATCGACGCAGTCTGGGACTGATAAGCATCAGGCTAGAACCTTTTGCTCAAGCAAGGAAATGGCAAGTCAAATGAATGAGAAATACTCATTGATCAGAGAGAGCTCCTACCGGGGCTTGGGTGACGGAAGTGGAGAGTGGATTGGACGGACACCGGCTATCATGATGATAACAGCAATACTAGTCTAGTCCGTTTAGTCCAGAGTACCTTATCAATATTGATCGTCAGAAGCTGGTGGCTATACTGATACGTAAGCCCACAGAGTCATTTGTTGACTACTAGGTAGTTAGTCCGTCCGAAAAAGAGCGCGACTTGCACACCGCAGGTAATGGATATTCTTGTCCTTGCTCCGTACTTTCCTTAAGATTCTAGTTAAAAGGTACAGTACCTGGTCCCTAGGGGCCTCTCCCATGGAATCGACTTGGCCTGGTTCAATTTATCATTCAGACACCCCAACTTGCTTCTTTGGCCCAGTGGACGGACTACTGCTGCTGCCACTTAACTACTACTACGATGACGACGACGACGACGACGACTACATGACCTTTTCGTTTGTGTTTGAAGACTTTCGCTCCGATCCACGCAAATCCAAAATCCAGTAGATACCTACCTAGGCCTTGCACCTATTCCTACAATGTTGGCTGTGCCCCCACTAAGTTCGTGCATTGTACTGTACAGTACGGTGCATGCCACCCCCTCTGTAAGAGTCAAAGAGGTCTGTCTAGACACTCTTCAAATTGCTGCAAATCCACAAGCTCCAGGGGTTAGCATAAGGTATAGACACTCTCTCAGTTAAGTTCAAATCGGGACAGGTTGTCTTTGCCGCACTATGAAGGGTAATACACGGCGCAGTGCCTACCATATCCTCATGAAGAAGTTCGTGGCTACTGCCAGTGTACTGTTATGTACAATACATACATGCACTCCTTGTGGGAAATAGACGCTTATGTCATCGCCAACAGGCGACTTGCCGACCCATTTCAATCCATTCCCGCCCCCTCCACGGTGCCTGATGAAATTTGCTTAACACCCCGCTGGACTCGGAAGGCACATAGACCAGCTTTAGAGGTACGTATGCGCTTTTTAACCCCTCCCATCCTTTCGCCGGCCGCTTTTAAACCTCACACCCCCGGAATTTGCCTGCTCGCAATCTCCTTTTTCTTCACTTTATTCTGTCCCTATCTTAATCCCGCGATCAGCTTCGCTGATAGTACAATCAGCATTCACCAGCTTTGCCTCAACCTTTTCCTGGACGTGTACTACTGTCGCCTCGCCAACATGAGTGCGGCTCAGCCGAACGAAGCGGAGAAGAACATTGAGATATGGAAGGTTAAGAAGCTCATCAAGCGCCTGGAGATGGCTCGAGGGAATGGAACCTCGATGATCTCTCTAATTATTCGTATGTCCTCCATTTTGGATACTTGACCGTGGTTGCCACACTAACTCCAAGCCGCTCGCAGCCCCGAAGGATCAGATCTCTAGAGCCGCGAAGATGTTGGCCGAAGAATTTGTGAGAGAAGAACTTAATAGGCGATTTGATATGGTGTAGTGCTAATGCGGTACGTCTTGCAGGGCACTGCTTCAAACATCAAATCCCGCGTCAATCGACTTTCTGTCCTTTCCGCCATTACATCCACTCAGCAGCGTCTCAAGCTGTACAACAAAGTTCCTCCCAATGGCTTGGTCGTCTACTGCGGTGAAATTATCACATCTGAGGGCAAGGAGCGCAAAATTAACATTGACTTTGAGCCTTTCAAGCCGATCAATACTTCGCTTTACCTCTGTGACAACAAATTTCACACGGAAGCGCTCAGTGAGCTGTTGGAGTCGGATCAGAAGTTCGGTTTCATTGTCATGGATGGAAACGGCGCGCTTTTTGGCACACTAAGCGGCAATACCCGAGAAATCCTCCAGAAGCTGAGCGTCGATCTGCCAAAGAAGCACGGCCGTGGTGGTCAGTCAGCCTTGCGTTTTGCTCGTCTTCGTGAGGAGAAGCGTCACAATTATGTGCGCAAGATCGCCGAGTTGGCCGTGCAGAACTATATCACCAATGACAAGGTCAATGTTGCTGGCTTGATCTTGGCTGGTTCGGCTGACTTCAAGAACGATTTGAATCAATCTGATATGTTCGACCAGCGATTACAAGCCAAGGTCATCAAGGTTGTTGACGTTTCGTACGGTGGTGAGAACGGCTTCAACCAGGCTATAGAACTTGCCGCAGAGACTTTGAGCAACGTCAAATTCGTCCAGGAAAAGAAGCTTATTGGAAAGTACTTCGAGGAGATCAGCCAGGACACCGGGAAGGTCTGCTACGGTATCGATGACACTCTTAAAGCCCTGGAACTCGGCGCAGCGGAAACCCTCATTGTGTATGAGAATCTCGATATCACTCGATGGGTTCTCAAAAGTTCTAGCGGCTCGGACGTTGTTGTCCATACCTCGAAGGCCCAGGAAGCCAATCGTGAGATGTTCACTGATAAGGAGACTGGGACTGAGATGGAAGTCAGTGAGCAAACTTCATTCCTTGAATGGCTCGCGGAAAATTACAAGGACTTCGGTGCAGCCCTTGAGTTCGTCTCCGATAAATCAACCGAAGGAAATCAATTCGTGAAGGGCTTCGGTGGAATTGGCGCGATGCTTCGATACAAGGTCAACTTCGAACAACTTGCTGATTTTGAAGATGAGGATGAATTCTACGATGGTTTGTATACTACGCCTATTACTCGGTTCACGTTACTAATGCCTTCCCACTACAGATTGACGGTTTAGCAACCTCGCAGAGAGCGAGGATGCACGCCCAGAAGCTCTCGAACCTGATCTTC